ATTTTTGTTTTTTTTAGATTTTTATTTGTCATACAATACTGTTAAATCATCAATATTCTTGGCAGCTCAAGTTTTATTGTTCTGACAATCCAAGAATTCATTGATAACCAAAATATGATGGTTGAATAAGAATTCATATTTTCTAGGACAAATCTTCAAAATTTGAGGTCCACAATAGAAATGATTTCACAATAATATGACAGCCATTTTTAACGAACATAACTCATTTAAGAACCCATAATTGTATGGATACATTCCTTCATATCATTCTATTATTTAAGATGAAGGCTCAAATTCATGTTGGCACTTCTCTTGATGTAAAATCAATGTCAGGTCCTACTGATAAAAAAAAATTTAATTGGGTTACAACATTTTTTGTAGAAACTGAAGAAACAATATTCAAATCGAAGAATCACATTTTTTCTGTTGTTGTTATATAACTCCAATTGAAAAATGTACTTTTGGCAATGCTTTAGACATTTGCATTCAATATGGTTAATATCTTTAGCACACTTATCTTTCTTGGGATGACCAAGTTGTTTTTCTTCCATTATCGAAAATGTCAACATGAATTGGAGTCCGAAACTACAAGTGCAATAATTTTGTTTTTTATTTATCTGTTTTATGTTGTTGATTTTTTTATTTATTTTTTTTTTTTGACTAATCTTGACTTCTGATCTGATTTTATATTGTGATGAAGATAATTTATCAAAGTGCTATCTTTTTAATTGTTATTTTGGTATTAAGTATTTGGGACCATCATTGTATATCAAGGTATTGTTGTTTTATTTATGGAGCACATTGTCTGTTTTTGTGAGTAAAAAAAGAATATCAATTCAATACTGTGTTCATTTATACTACCTTTCAGAATGAGACTTAAAATTTTATGTCAAAACTTAGTCAATAAGTGTATATTCATCAGTTGGACTTACCAGGTTTCATGGCTAAAGAATAGAATCTCTATATAACAAGATATATCTGTTAGACTAAGAATTTTGAAAAACACTTCTAAGCATGTTTCAAAATTACCTAGTTTCATGGATTTATTGGGGATTCTGTTGTATAGTTATGACACCAGGTAAGTCCAATGATGAACAAACTCTCATTTTAACAAGTTTAAAAATTTCAATTTCTTGGTCATTCTAAGAGGTATTGTACCTTAAATGAACGAGGACAGTTCATTTGCCTGTTTTTGTCTCGGACATACTTGTTTTGGATGCCAATATTTAATATGAAGCAATATTTAATGTGGATGAATTATAGAGTTAGATATCTTAAAAAGGCAGACATGTTCAACCTAAAGGGCTGATTGAACCTGCATATCCTCAGAAACAGTGTTATACATTGGGCAAATATGAAAATCTCTTTTACAGTAACAGATCTTTTTGTCAAGCTTCATTTTCAAGTTTACAACAGCATGATTTATACACACAAATATACTAATTGTGTCAAAGGAAGCAACAGCTGCACATGCCTAGTCAGGGTAACTTTAATGTTCAGCCAGTAACACAAATCCTCAGTGTTTTATCCCACAACTTGATGATTCACCATGCATAAAAAATATTCCATAAGAACACAAAAGCAAAAAGTACAGCTATCTATTTATTTGTGATGATGATAAATCAAGATGAATATAAGTTAGACATGAAGATAGAAATTGAGAAAAGAAAGGAAGAAATAAAAATGTTATGATTTTAAAAGAGTTTGACCCAATTTGATATAGTACATATATGGTCACTCATGGTAATGTACAAAATATACAATAAAATTAACAAATAACATTTCAAGAGCAATTTACAAGGCTGATATTAAAGATCTGTTTTAGGTCTAGTGCTGCTTGATTGCCCACATATGATTAAATATTGTCCAAGTAAATATTTTTCAATCCAATCACTTTGATTTTAAAGTTGAATTAATGATAAGCAAAAAATTAAAACTTTGTAAAAATGAATTTTTGTTCACCAGTGGAGTTTGGCTGGTGCCATAACGATACGAAATTATATCTCTATAATCCAAAAATCCATATAACTAAATAATTCATTACACTAAGTAATTTTGAAACATGCTTAGAGGCTTGTTTCAGTAATTAAGTTTAATGGATATAATGGATAATGGATATATAGAGATTCTATTCTTTAGTCATGGCATCTGGTAAGTCCAACTGATGAATATATATATACTTGTTGACCAAGTTTGATACTTTAAATTCTATGTCCGTAAAGGTAGTATCCTTTTCAGCTATTTTAATCACCAAATGTAAATAAAACTGAAATTTTGTACTAAAATCTCAGAAACTTTAATGCAGGGTCATTCGTTTAAATCAAGCAAGCATTTGACACATTGGGATTGTACCTACTGTGAAATGTTTTGTATCATAAATTGTAGAATAAATTGCTTTGTCTTCATCTATAAGTGCGTAATATTAAAAGATAAAACCATTTCATATACAATATACACACTACAAAACAATTATAATTTCATATTTAAATTTCAACAAAGAAAGTTTGCATATTGATGCAAATATCATCTTTTATAACCTTTGATTACTGACTAAGTTCCTAATGTATAATTTTAGTACAACTGACATACAGTCTATATACTGTTCACTGAGAACAAACCTCTCTTATATACCTTGATTTTCAATGCTCTTTAAAGTATAGTTGAAGTATTATCTTTTCACTGCACTTGGTGTGTAAATGGGTACTAAAGGCTGTCTAAAAGCTGTCCAAATAGCTTTGGGACTTGTGGATATCCAATGGGTACTGGGTAATGTGTTTGATTGTAATGTTTTGAGCACTTTGAGTATAAAAACATGATGAATGATAAGAGATCTACAATAAACAACAATAACAACAATCTTCCTTTCATCATCATCAATCTTTACATATAACTAAATCTTTTAACTCTTCTCCTGTTATCTTCAATGTCTGAAATATACAAATTATAAAACACTACACTCATAGCTCTTGCTTTACTTTTTGAAACATAAAAATCATGAAGCTCTTGTTTTAACTTCTTTACAGTTAGCACATACCTTATAAATGTTAATATAGAGATACATATTCCCACATGTTAATCAGAGAAAATATTTGTCACCATAAATTGACAAGTCGGCATAATGCTGTGCAGACACCATTATATTGAGTGATAATTTATGCTTTGATACAAGTGATATTATGACTAAATCAAACCCAACTCATCACATTAAAAAGTTTAAAGTATAATTACAAGCTGACATTGTATTTTGACTAACTATCATGCTTACAAGGAATGCAATTGGACAAGAGCCAGCAATAACACATCTTAATTCTAGCATATAAAAATATAATTTGAGACAAACATACCTTTTCATTAGCTAAATGCAGTAAACACACAAAGGCAATAGGAACGCTGAGATTCTTGGCAGTGTTTGTGGAAACTTTCTCTGGTAATTGTTCTAATAATGATTGGAAAGACCAGGATGTATTCATAGTTATATTTTCACTCTCTTCTTCTTGCTGATAAAAACAAATCATTTTTCACAACATGAATACACATTTTAAAAACAAAATGTTATTCTGGTTAAACTGGTTTTGAGCATTGATACCCTGAAGTCCTTGGGTTCAATTCAGGCATGGGTCGAGATAATACCTTCGGATTTTTCAACCCTGTTTCCCCCTGTCAGTAATGCAGAGCGGAGGAGCTGACATGGAGAAAAAATTCCAGTCATTGGAACAATAATCCAAGGCCCTGTGTGCTACAGGCTTTGCACGTTAAAGATCCTCGACAATTGGATATCAAAAAGTAGGCTACTGCTGCTGTCCTGGCAAAAATTTCCCTCATTGCACAGCAGAATGAAAAAGTCCAATAGAGCTATATACTCACCACAGGGGCTTCTTCTTCTTTTTTGGTTAATAATTTCCACATAGAGCCCTTTAATCTTCTTACATCTAATTTCTTAGCTGTTTTAGCATAGCCAATATCAATTTTAGCTACCTGTAATACATAGAAGTTGAATCAGTATGATCCGCCATGTTAGAACAAATATAATCTTAACACTTGTGTGTTGGACTATGGGAATTGATGCACCTTATCTCTTGAAGACTCCATATACATGTAGTCCATTATATTATTTTGACATGTTATTCAAACTATTTATCTGCACTTAATACTTCAAATAATAAGAATAAGACATATTTCTAAGCCATTTCACTCGAAAAGTCTGAAAATGACTCAATTCAAACCAATTGCGTCCCACTTTTCAATGTCAAAAATAATACATTTCTGTTTATAGCACAAAAGTATTATATTCTCTATTTAATTCAATGTCAGTTATACCTAATATGACATAATTCAAACCATTAACAGCAATGATTAGGACCAAAATATTTAGTTTTTATACACGATGAACAAATTTAACAGTGAAAATATTTCATTATTGTATAATGAACATCATTTATACCTTATATGGTTGGGCTAATAACTTATCTCCTGCTAGAACTGTACCATCAAATAATGTGTCTTGTAATGAAGGATTCTGAGTCATTTCCTGACTATCATCACCACAGGCAGCCGTAAAGTTGAACCCTTGGTCATCATCATCATCATCATCCTGAATCAAACAGTCAATAAAAATAAGAAAACTGTGCTCCTCTTTCTGGAAAAAGTTCTCCAGTTTAACACTATGTATTCATTTGATCAGAGATGTTTTTCTTCCATTGTGATACAAATTATGCAGACTTACCACACAAAGACCTGAAGGGATTGAAGTATCTTTTTTCGACTTGCAACATAAAAAGATACTGTTTTAGTTATATAAAGATATGAACTACCCAAAAGTTGACAAGCCAACATGAATCCAATGTTTTTGGGTATATCCTAAATAACAACGAGCAGTTGCCCAAAAAAGCTATCAACCCACAAACATAACTATATTGCTCTATAATTGTACCTTAACAGTGGAAATATTTCATTAATGTAATTAACTTGGATATGTAATAAGAGAAATTGTTGGAATTTTCTATGAACATGAAAATATGAGAAAATGGTACCCACAGCAGCATCAGCAGGACAGTAATTATCTTTATCATTAGCATTATCATAATCATAATTCTCTACTGCTTCATCTACACCAACATCACTAGCTGTCTGTCTCTTGATCTATAATTATTTATTTAAAAACATTCAGTTACAGTTGACATGAAATAGATTACAAGGTGTTTCAGGGTGTTTATGTACAGTAACAACCCATGTCAGTTAACACAACCAATTTAATATATGTATAACACAACAAATGTAACATGCCACTGGCAAAATAAAAATGACGGAGAAATTTATAATATACAGTCAAGTAACCTAATTTCGTGGAAACCTATTATTCGTGGATTTCCGGAAAAGATTAATAATTTACATGAGCGACCTTGCGCGACCTCCGCATTAGCTTGTTTTGATAAACATGGGTTTTATCTACAATATCAGCTAGTAGAATGAATTCAGTAGTTTCAAGGAAGGTAAAATGTATTAATGTATACTTTGACAAATACAAAATGGCAGATTTCACTTATTACCAAACGTTACCATTTTTTATCGGCCAAATTTCCTTATAATCCCAAGCGGTAATCGGAATTCCAAGTGTCGTCTGCTGGAATATATTCTAACAAATGAAATCACATGATCAACTAGCGGATTCCATGTCAGCAGAAAATTTCTATGAAACACAAAGTGGACCATATTCTTATGTTGTTTCAGTGACTTTTAGCAATAAATCACGCTACGTATCTTATTTTGTCAGTCACTATTTTTTTTTAAAATCATGGTTCTTTGAAGGAATTGTCACTAGTTATAATGAATTGATATTAAAGATAAATACTAAGAGAGGTTAATTATACCACCCGGTATCCATACAACATGTTTTTCTAGACTTATTTATAGATCAAACATTGTTCACGAAAATAGGTGACGCATTCTGCCGCCGTTGCCGAGTTGGTTGATCATGAAATATGGGTCAAAGTGAAGGATTCATAAAGAAAATCGAAATAAACCAATTTTAATTATTTTGTAGAATATCTGAGAAAACTTCTAAGACATAAATTTTTTTTTTTGTTTTTTTAACTTTGACGAAAAACGGTGTTGAATCCTTATATCCACGAAAATAGGTTACACCACTGTATATTACTTGATTTAACTCAACACGTCTTAAGCTTAAAGTATGAATGTTAGATTTAGTAACAAGGCTGGTTACAAAATCAGTTCATGTGCTTTAATAACTCAGCCTTTCAGAACCAAGCAAAATATCAATCAAATGACTAACTCACCATAATTTTAGGTTTATTAAATAATTTGAATAATTTATCAGCATCATAATGTTGATCTTGAGGTAGGGTAGTCTGAGTTTTAGTATGTTTAGTTAATGTAGCTTTAGTTAATGTAGTAGCTTTAGATTTTCTAAATGGTTTCTCTAAATCTACATCACCTTCATAATCTATTGTATAATCTACTTTCTTGGCTTTAGGATTCTTGGGTACATTTTTGGGATCTGTAAAAACAAGAATGACTTTTATTTTTCACTGGAATAGTCTTCATTACTCGAGATAACTTACTCATATAATAATATATATTAGACATTAAAGCCAACAAAACACAAAAGTGACCACTTACCAGTCATTATTTTGGTATGTTACATGTCTGACAGGAAGCTCAAGAGTGATTAGTTGAGAATTTTTTCTGCAGCTCATTTATAAATTAAAACTACATTTATATACTATGATTCATATGTAACAATGAATCTTCATTAAGTAAGACTTTTGAGTCAAAATTACCAATATATAAAATGTGAATGAAACAGTACTTCTTCTTACAATACTGTCTTACCTTTAGATAAGGGTCCAAGTTTCCAATGTGATGGTCCAGCCCAAGATTTTAATAAAGCTTTATCAAAATAGGAGTAATCTGAAGGTTCTGAGGCTAAAATCTGCATCAAACTTCCCACTGACCCATGTCTGCAACAAGACATTCAACATTGATTATCAGAACAATAATCAGATCTAACAGCAGTGAATCTTGCTGATTTCAAAGCATAGGCTTATTCCATGAAATTTTTTAAGCAGATATTAAAAGTACATAAGTAACTAGGATTAGAGTTGCAGTTAATAAAATAATTTTTTTTTAGTGTTTAAAACTGTAATATCTTTTGATAATATAAACACGATTAGCAATGTACTAATATAAAGACAAAACTTACGTTAAATCTCTGAAAGCTGATTCTACTAGTTTAGCTGTATTATTATCACCTAGTACATGAGACATAGTTTCTTCTTGTGATTCAGGATCGAACCCTAATCAAAATTTAAGATAGATCTAAAAACCTTTCCAAGTTGATAATGGGAAATTAAAGTCCATTCCAACTATAAATTTCTGTTTTAATTCATTTTGTTTACCATTTTGGTTACTATAATTTAACAATATAGAAAGTTTCATTTGGAACCTTTACTGCTTTTTTTCAATGAAATCTGCATAAAATCATCTACAATGTTGGATATTTATAGTGTGTCAGTCATGAATTTAAAACTCTCAATTTACTTTTGAACTCTCCACACATGCATACTTTCTATCAATATGGCTGCTGAATATGTGATTGGTAGAGTTCATTTGTAAAATAAGGTGTTTATTTAGCTTGTCAAATTATATCCAGTTTTGATTTCAAATAGTAATATGATAAAATAGACTTACCATGATGTTCATCATCACTATCACCCCCAGTAAAAGATAAAACATCTACATCTCTGTTGTAGTTATCTTCATCTGGTTCCGGGATTGGTTCTACCTCAGCATTCACATCAAATACATGTTCTGATGAGGGTTTGGGTATGATGGAACTCTACAATAATATTGTAAACATTTCAGTATAGAAGAGTGAGCTTGCCTTAGAAACAACCAAAGAAAGTTTAAGTTTACATCTTTATTGCTGGTGTTGATCTATAAAGGTTAACCAAAAAATTCTGAACTTCAATTTAAGGATTACAAACAAAAAAAGGATGGGTTAAGCAGGGCAAATCATGCATCATGATGTTACTTTATTAGTATTAGGTATACCTCAGGGTTAGAGTTTTATTACAAGCAGGTGCTAGGGATAACCAATTATATCTAAAAGTAGCAAAAATTCAATACTCACAGTATCAGAGCCATCCCATTCTGTAAATCTAAAATCTTCAAATGCAGGACAGATTCTTTTTTCTTCCATATGTAACTTGGAAAATAATTCTGAAAATAATAAAGAACATGAAAACCAAGAAAAAAAGATTGACCAATGAGAAATTGGATTAGGAAATATAAAGAAGTCTAATTTTTCTGCTTCAGATTGGGCTTTTTTTTATATAATCTATGAGTTTGACAATTTGACATGTAGTCAATGACCTTCTCAGTCATCAAGACTATTCAAATCAAAGTAGAAACAATTCTTAAAAAATGTGCTTTTATATCACAGTATTTCAGTTTCACTCGATTCTTTGCCTTTTTGCTTATATAACATACCTTTTATATCTCCAGTGTCTACAGGTTGACAGCCTCTAGGCTGTAAATTTCTATCATCTATAATAGAAACCTGGGTAGAGGAATCTAATATTAATTCTTGACTATCATCAAAACATTGTAAATTATTTAATAACAGTCCACTGACTCCTCCTTCATCAAAGGCTGCTGATGTTATTTGAAACATAGGATCTACCTGAAATAGTAAACGTGTAGAATATAGTAGAATATACTTAATGGGCCTAATTCATTTATGCAGTCAATAGTACAATGATAGCAATGTTTAAAAAACTACATATACTGTGACGTATGCTTCTTTCATATAGTTTTCAGATAGAGCACTATACGAAAGGAACAAAACTATAAGTTTAACTGAACAATTAGATCATGAAATTACTCCTAGATTACTGAATTTATATGACAAATATAAATCAATCATTTTGTACGAAACTGTTTCATGTTTCAAAAAGCTAAAGATGTGTTAAGATATGGAAATATTCAATACCCTGTAATACTATGTAATATATACAAGTAAAAGCAATCTGAACTTTCAACTGTTGTGAACCTTACCTCAAATTCTAAATCAAATTTATTGACATTTATATTCTTTAAATTGGTCTCAATTGTCCGACTTTTTCTGGCCTACAAAATAAAGATGAAATATTATGAACTTTAAAGAGCACATATCATTCAATCAAAAGAAATTCAATATTTCAATTTAAAAAAAATAAACATTGTAACCAATGTTAAGGATGGTGAATTCTTAGGAAAGTAATGGGTGCACAGTATATTCACAATAAAATAGTATTTTAATTTATATCTATTTTACTAATGATAATTTCAAGTTGCTTACCTTTCTTTTCTTTTTGTTGACTTCCTCTGCATTACTTCCAGCTTCACCAGTGTTCTCATCTCCCTCTCCATCTATAAAATATTGAAACAACTTTTATTAAAGATAAATACCATGCATGGGTGAATTGTTACATTTAGATAATTCTCAATACTATATCTATAAGCTTAAGTGATGTATTGAGCGCCATTTAAACAGTGAAAATATTTTGTAATTGTTATTCTCAATATATTGCATTTCATCATAGAATTTGAATTTGTCAAGCAAACTGCATCCATTTTATTAGTCCATATAACATCCCTGTTTAAATATTTCTCGAAAGAAATGTTTTACTTCTGTGGTTGTCGATATATTTCATATAAGAGAATCATAGAACATTATAATTATTACTGTTGATAGTTACACTTACCATCCTCTTTGTTTTTGTCTTTTTCTGACCGCCCCAGACCAGTTAATACTTTATAAGTTTCAGAATGAATAAAATCTACTCTTCCAGCATAAATTTTGGCACTAGCATCTAATGTTGTACTGGCAACCTGAAAAGATAAAAAATATATTTTATACTTTATCTAATCCTTTGCAAATTTAGACATCTCCTTGAAAGAATAATCTCATGGAAAACAATTTTTTCTGTTGCATAAAATGTGCTTCCTATTGAACAATAATTTTCAAATTAAAAAGTCCATCTCACCTGAAAATTTTCCAATCCTTTCTTCTGTAACAAGTCTGACATATAATCAATCAGATGAAGGCCGAAGGCATTCTTAGCATTTATTTTCTGAAATATAAAACAGGATTATAATTATTTAACAATTGATCCAGTACAGTGAACCAAATTTCAAAATTTCAAACCAACATAGTTACAGAGTTATAACCTCAAACCTCAATCTCAAGAACAAAAAAAATAAATAAAAAATCAAACAAAGTATAATGATAGATCTTACATTAATCAAAAATCAAACACAGTATAATGATGGATCTTACATTTTCTGTAGAGAGTTTAATACAACTGGCATAATGATCAGATAGTTGACTGGCTGTTAAACCATTTAAAGGTGTTGAACGTCGTCTGTCAGCTGGAGAAATTGGACTACCTCCAGCTGTACCAGCTTTCCTCTGTAACTCAAGAACTCTTGACCTACGACGATCTCTTTTCTCAGCTGCATCATCATGTTCTTTAGTAAAGACCCCGACAGGTGTCTGAATATGAGCATGTCTACTAGTTGATGGAGACACAAATTTGGAAGCAGTATTAGGTCGTTTTGATGTCGGTGTTGACATATTGTTGGTTGAAAGCGGGGTTAACGGTTCCCGAACAGACATTGTTTTCACTGAAATGACAAATAAAAGTTAGTCTTGTACTAGACTAGGTAGAATAAGTCTAATTCCCTACTTCTGTCTAGGGATAAACAAAGTCAATTTACCATGGAAGTCTACGATAAAGGATCTCAATCAAAGGGTCCACTACATTTACAATCACCAGTTTTGTGACATACTCCATGAAATGAGCAACCTTGATTTTGGCAACATTCTGAAAGATAAATGGATAACCCATTATTTTATATCCTTAAAAGTTAAAAAGTTGATTATCCCATGCCAGAAGTAGGGAATAAAAGTTTTAAGCATGAGCATGTATAGTTATGAACTGGCCTACTATAAATATTAAAGAGAGAAATAGGTTATGAAGTAGACATTTTCAGCTTCTCATTTTAGTTAAAGGTTACATGATCTTGATCTATCTCAAAATGTTCATGTTCAGAGCCACCAGTTCACACAGGACATGATTAACAGAATACCGGTAGCCTACTAAAAATTATATAAAAAATTTTTAAAACTAACTCACGCTTTAATGGTCAATGGTTTTAATCAATGTCAGTTAATCTTTGCACTCAGTTAATCAGTGGCCCAAGTATTTTTTTACTGGCCTAATTGACACTACAAATGACACTGCACAGAGTGAGTTTGTTGACTTGAGAACTTGTGTTAGTTTGGTTGACGTCCATCAAGTCAGACAGTACATACGATCCAATCAAACAGATTTTCAGGAGGACTAAACTCACCTTTACCTAATCCTAGATTTTTAGAGATAACACATTTTTACCACGAAATAATGATTAAATTTCCATCGATTTAACAATAATATTTTCAAAGATTCCGCCTTCTTTGCAACTCACTTCTCGCAATCTCTCGCACTATCCCGGGTTTCCCGTGTTTCTATAAATAGCCTACAATTTTGACCAGAGAACATTTTAAAGATCTTGCTGGCTTATTCCGCAAAAGAAATAAAGGCTTTGTAATTTAAGTAGTTCTGTCTGAGTCCGTAAGTTTGATTCAACACTACTACATTCTACTTTTAAGCCTTTAAGATATTTATTCAGAACTCCCTCCAATTTTTTGGTAGTCCACAGGCATTTGTATAATTTGGACATATTCAGACAACAAATAATTCTGTAATGATAAATAACTTGTCTATTGAGCATGTTTTTCTCTGCTTATGGAGTCTAATAATGAATGTTTTACTGATTTTTCAGGTGGAAACTATGACATAAAGCATTCCAGAAATGAATAATCTGGCTTCACCACCTTATAAGAACACAGTAAGCTCATGTAAAATTAAATTACAATAGATTAAATTGCTGTTAAGAAATATAAATATGTAGGACTAATGCCAGTATGTAACTGCATAACCTTAGAATGGTATTTAATTTTGCTAAAAAGGAAAAAACTTTATTGTGAAACTGATGATGATCTGTTCGCAAATTTTACATGTACTGTATAAGCAAGGTATTGTGACCTCAATATTAAAGAGGTTGTGTTATTGGTGTAAGGTATGAAATGTTGTGTCTTGTATTTCAGCTTAGTTCAAGTCTAAAAGACAGGTTGAAAAGATGTGGTAGATATCATTCTTCACCGAGCCCTACTCTCTCTAAAACAAGATGTCCTCAAAGTGAAAAGTTGACCACTACTCCTAAAAGACTCTCTCCTTCTAGGGCTCGAACAAAATGTCCTCAAAATGATCAGTTACCAATTTCTACTCCAACAAAGTCCATTAAAAGAAATCCTGAGGAAAATGACAGTGAATTGTGTTCAACGCCTAGTACTGCTAAGAGAATTTGTATGGATGAAATTGACACAAACACTGAACTCAATACAAAATTACTGCAGAATGGAGAGGATGTGTCAGAATCTCACACAAATATCTCACAAAACCCTGGAAACCTGTTATCACCATTGTGTAAATCCCTGGACCCTTTCAGCACTCCAGTTAGTAAAAAATCTAGACTAAGACGGAGCAAACTAAATCTTCAAAAAACTCCAGTTTCTAAAACAGTATCAAAATTTGCATCTCCAGATAAAAGTTCCATGATTAATTTAAATGAAATTAAACTTAAACTTTCTAGTTCTGTCAGTGATAAGGAGGAAAAGTTGAGAAAATTAAAAATGGTCCAAATGTACAGGAAAAAGGTAATACATTAGAAAGAAAAGACAGGCTTGGATATAGTTGATCCTTTATAAATACATATACTATGTAAATTTGTACTTTGAATTATCCGTGCGGCTGGTCAATTGCTTTAACAATGGTTGAGTATTTATTATTTAAGAAGGTACAAAAAGACTTGCCGTAATCAATTGTTATAAGAGGTGTTTAACTCTTGAAAGACTAAAACAAAAATGCTTTATTATTTTTGATAACAAATACATTTAAGTAGGGTGAAATATATTTTACAAGTCAAATGTAGCCAAAAGTCAAGGTACATTGTTTTCAGCAAATGAAAGTTACCCTTTATTCAGTCTGTCTCAAATTAATTTTAATGTTTTATGATAGATATTCTTATGAAAATTAAATTTCTCTTTCAGAATGATCTGAGTAAGTTGGAAGTATTGATACAAAAGTGGAGAAATGTCTCTCAAGAAGCAATCCGAGATCTACGACAAATGTTACCAGAGCCTAAACCTAGTTTACATGATTTGATACAACATTTACAAATTGATATCAAACTCCTGAAATATAACAGTGAGAGTGATGATTTTGATTAATGGAAAAGGTTGAAAGTTGACTGAGATTGGATTCTCAAAAACGCTGGTTGTGTTTATTTTTTGGATCAGCCCCAGATGTGGAAGTAACAACTTTGCTTGACTATCTAAACTTTCCTGAGAGTATAATTATGTTATTGAACGGCCACATACAATGCCTGTGTCTAAGCCAAAGTTTTGTCAATTATTGTGAAGGTTGAAGTGAAAAAAAAAAACATTTGTTTTTGCTTGATTAATTTGTTTAAAATTATATTTTTTGTTTGATTGTTGATTATAAATATTGTTTTGAATTAAATAAACAATATGGCTGTTTCATTTGAATGTGAAAAAGGTAGACCATCAAATTCCCTCTGTAATATGTAATATGCATGTGTTGATGGTTCAGGCGTAAACAAATCTGCATATGCTCAGGAAATGAAATGGAGTTATACATCTTTCTTCTCTAGACCTGATTGGGCTAATGAAGACAGGCAACCATGCATTTTTTTCAAAGCAGCATTAACCTATTCTTTCTCAACTTTCTTCTGTTTAAACATCTGATCTGGAACATCCACATGGATTTAAGAGGGTTGGGGTCCCTCTCAGGGGAAATTATTTTTTTTAACATATAATCTCCACCATTTTTAGCTGGGGTTGGGGGACGGGGTTGGGGGACGTGGTTCAATCAGCCAGTGTGTGCTTTTGGACCTGCAACTGTGGCCATTCAAAAGCTTTAGTTTAATACTAGCACATTTTTGATAAAAGATTATGAATCTAGTGGAATACAAAAGCTCTTGATAATATATAATCGTGGATTTAGTTCGAAAGTGATATAAAAAAAATGTTATTGAAACGAATGCCTGTGGGGTGCACTTTCAATCTAAACAGAGTTATATCCCTTTACAAAATGGACGCAGTTGGGAATAATTTTGTTCATTTATAATTTTTTTCGAATATAATTTGAAAGGTGATATTCCTTGTTTATGTGAGTTGAATATATTTAAGCTGTGCATGCTTTGACCCAAGAAGAGCTAGGTTGTTTTGATTTTCACGACATTTCTGCTCAGTTTTTCATACCGGTACTAAAATTGGTAAAAAAAAGAGGTTATGTTTGTTTACTTTATGCCCATGCCCCCCATGGGACATAGTTTTTTTTTATGTTATATTTTTTATTTAGCCTACTTTTAGGTAGTGATAGGCAATCGGAAGAAAATAGTAATCAGAGAGGCTTAAAAAATTATCAAAACACGTCACATTGAATATGTCTTACAGACATGTCAACTGTAGGTCCTGTACACGATTTAAGGATTTTTTTTTTAAAATTAATTTTGTAGGCTAGTTGTTTGTTAATGATGGCCGTTTTTTTGCAGGTCATTACAATGTTAGTCAACAATAATTGATTATCATTATTAATATTAGGCTGAGATGAACAAGGTCCATCAGTTTTGCTTTTAAGATCCTCTTTAGGTAAAGATTTTGAAAAATGATCATGAATTGTTACTTTGGTTGACTAGTCAAGATAAGGTGGTTTATATTCAGATATTTTTCCTTACTGTTAGATTTGCTCTAAGCTATTGTATACAGTAAACTATAATTTACAGGAAAATAAGATTAAAGTAACCATGTAACAACAGAATGCCGTTTGAGGATAAACTAGGTCGTGTGTGTGGTTTCCTTAATATAGAAGAGTCTGAAAACAGTGGCAGTTTTACTCGAAGATATTTTATCTTAGATCATAATAATGGAAGGCTCTTCTATTATATGGACAGTCCAAGTGTAAGTTTTTTTCCCCTTATCTATGATTTGTGCCAGTAGTAGATTTTGACCTCTGAAATCATTTTCTGGCTCTATTCTGTAGCCTAATTGACATAGTCAACAGCCTTTTTATGTAAAACAATTTTTAATTTCCAAATATGATATGTAAATTTTTATCATTTCAGAATTTGCCACCAGCTTGGCAAACCCCAAAAGGTGAAATATATCTCCATTACGTGGCCATGGTAAGATTTATTTTGCCTCTGCTTCACAGTAACAATTTATACATTATTAGATATTTATACTTCTGTAATTTGATCCACTTTAAAGAGGAAATATTATGTATTTATTATGTATATATTATTATATTAACTGTAAGGAATATCTTATATCAGATTACCAGGTTGGGTCTATCTCTTAAAATATCATACAACCTTGCCCTTCATTATGCAAACACTACTGTAAGCAGCCAATCTTAAGCATTCCCCTTGCTGTTTACAAGCTTGACTGTGTGTGAATCGATTATCTTTTGAGTTATCTCATTTTTGGATGAGGAAGTTTATTATTATTATCAAATATACTATAATGAATTTTAAACATTTCCTTACATAGGTTAGTGATGCTAGAAGACTGAGACCTAAAGTTCCATATTGCTTTGGTAAGTATTAACTAATGGCATCTTATATATTGCATGATGAAGATTTATTTTTATACAAAATATATTTAGTCTCAATCTAAAAATACAAATGAAAGATTTTTTAAATCTATTGTAAAATATAGACCCCTTTATAGAGGAGCTGTCAGCATTTTTAAGGCAGGCAGACATTTTAAAACTCAATTCCTTAATAGATAGTGCTTGATATGCAAAAAAAAGAAAATGTAAAAAAATGACATACTATATACAAAGGCTGTGATTGTTTCCTTTATATCGATGCATTGCTTTTGATAAAAAAAATAATGATGTGAAATCTAATGGGCATTAACCAGTGTTTATATTGAGTTGTGTCTTTTTTCTATCTTTCAGTGATAAATTACGAAGGTAGAAGATATTATTTACAAGCTGAAGATGATGAAGATTTAGAAAAATGGATTGATGCTTTAAATAATGCCAGTAAAATTACTGTAAGTTATACACAAGAATTAACTTATTGACCCTACATATTTGAATTGCGCTGAAATATGCTTACAAATTAAGCAGATCAGGCCAAAGATATGCCAAACAGATGGAAAATGAATATTTCAAAGTCTTCGAAAATGATTAATTACAGTGGCAGTGGAACAGCTCAGTCTGTAGTGAGTTGGATTGACATCAATTTTTGTGCCATGGCTAGTATTTCCTAACACTAAGGGCCATGGTGTTTCAGATTAGTTAGTATATTTCAGGTACCTAAAAGTGAAGTAAAGAATCGTGAAAGATGTATGGAGTGGCATGCTGGAGATTTAAGCCAAACTAGTTATACTACAGAAATAGCAGGCGGAGTTGTTTGTAAGTTACCAGATCAGGTAAGGACCAAACCTCTTGTGTTTTTTATCATTAGGTTTTAGAATTGTTTTGGAATTTGCCTTAAAAAACATTAACTCTAGCAGTAGTTGAAAACTTTGTTACTTTCAACCACTTTCAACTAAAAATATCTATCCTCAATGAATAAGATGATTTTGGTGTTCCATCTGATTACTAAAATAACTAAAATCGATTTTAAATTGATTTAAGTTTGATTTTTTCTTTAACAATAGTTGTATTATTAAATTCTATTATAATTTCAGCCAGTAGATGAAGAATCTGATTCTGAGAGTGAAGATGAATCAGGATCATCTGGTAAAATATCACCAACCAGCTCAATGAGTAAGACATCAGGCTCAAGTACAAAAGAAAACAGCATTTCTAGTGAATTAATCAGAGAAGATTCCACGAAACATAATTTTATTGGCTTAAAATGTGGTTTCTGTGTAAAACAAGGGGCTGTGGTAAGTCTACTTATTACAAACTTTTATAAGAATTGTTTACAGCTGTATGGAATTATGAGTGAAGATAGCTTACTGAAGGTCATTGGACTTCCATATGTCGACTGAGATTAGAACTTACAACGCAAAGGATGTCATTTAAAGAACAGTGTTGTCAATCAAGTTCAGTTTTGTTAAGGCTTCATATTATCTAAAATTAAACTAAAAAACAGTTTGAGTGACAACAGTCTACAATACATTTTTGTTGAATTGCAGGTAAACTTAATGTCAGATTCTTCTTCTGAAAAGTGATATGGATGGCTTAAATTCTGTTTTATCAGTGAGCAAAGCATATACACATTTATTTAGACAATTATATCTCTTATATGAAAAACTTATTGAACTATGTTGGGGTTTTTTTTTGTAGAGAAAGAGTTGGAAAAGAAGATTTTTTATTCTCCATGAAGAAGGATTATCATATTTTAGATCAGAACATGTAAGTTATAATACTGATATCAAACATGCATTCCTTACTTATGTTTAATTTCAATGTATTTTCTCCTAATTACTCAACATTTTTAAATTGATGTCATTAAGCACTTATGGTCCTCAAATTTCATTTACTTAGTAGAGTTATATTATATTCTAATAGTTCAGACCCATGTGGCTAGGCTTATCAGGTGACATATTAAGTACGATCGAGGTATAAAATATCTCAATGAAATACATGTAATTAACGTTATGGATTTGTTCCTGTTTTTAATTTATCAGAGTTGCTAAAAGATATATTTATTTCAGGACAAAACTCCCATCCGAACAATTCCTTCCTATGATATTTTAGAGGCTAAAGAAACGACAAGGTAAATATATTGATAGTTGAATAAGAAATGCACTCTTCAGTAGATAGAGAAAGTGACTTTTACTATGAAATATAAAATTCATTTTAGTCAATTGTATTGTCTTTGAAATATATTGATATATGGCCATGATGTTCTGTTCTCTGAGTACCCATATTTGGCATGTTTTATTAATTTTATGCTTTGCTGTCTTATTTTATTTAATGCATACGTTCTAACCTGGGAATCTTGGGTCTATCCCATGCATAGCATGAGGTCCACTGATTGTTACTTTCTACAGCACTTATCTAACTTTCTGTTTATTATTGAAACATTGTTGATATTTTATAATTTTGTTATTTCAGTTCAAATGTAAACAGAGACAATTTATTTGAATTGATTACCGCTAAACGAATATTTTACATACAGGTATATATATATATACATTGATTCAATCAATTGTTATTATTATTTTCTAGTATAAAAGTCACTAGATTCTCAAAGTGTGATCTTTAGGCAACTTTAATTTCAAACATGATATAACCATGGATTTCACATTCCAGTAGCATTTTTTGACATACCGCCAAGAGCAATTTTTAATTCAAGATAAAAGACACGAAAAGTTTGGTTTGAATATAATTTATGACATTTAGTGTTCTGCCGTATTTTAAATGATATTCAATTAATATCGAAAAGTGTTCCTATTATGGTTTCTATGTTACATTAGTCAGAATGAAAATTTCTATAATTATTTGATAATTGCTGCTTACCTTACAGTGTGATACCCCAGAAGAAGTACGTAGTTGGATTGAAGCTATTAGAAATTTATTAAAGATGAGAAAATTAGAGGAAAGAAAGGTATTTTATATTTATCTTAACCAGAAATTGAGTGACCAATTGACAGACTTTGGAAGGGTTGAGAAAACTTTGGGAAAAGTGAAATGGAAATTTTTCATCGTTAGTTTTTGGCTGAGAAAAAAAAACTTTGTTTTAATTGAAATTTAATTGATGTAAACTCAATATTTTTCAGTCAATGCAACATGGGGACCCTACAAGTTACGAAGAAGGCTACAGTTCAAGTGGTCAGCCAAAAAAAGTATGGGTATAACTTACTTATTTACCTGCATGAAGCATGTACTATACAGACTGTGTTCATCTTGTTATATTTCCCTTTAAGTTACATCTATTTATTCCTTACAAGGTATTGCTTCGTCTAATTTTGTTTTTTCACAGTTGTTAGACAAGACTTTTGTTTTCAAGAATAACATTGGATATCTTCACATTGTTTTGTACAATAATAACAAATAGTGTGCTGTATACCCATTGTCTTGTTCAAGGAATATTAACTTGTGATCTAGTCCTGGGCATGTATATGGAAGTTTATCACACAACTGTTCCTGAGTTCATCACACTGGTTCAAAAAAGAATATGAAAACACAGGTTAAAAACTATGCAAATTAGGTCTTGTATTCATGCACCATGTAAACAAAACAACATGGCATTCTTTGAAGTTGACGACTCAGTTAAAATTGAAGGTATAGGGCATAAAATTGTTCAAAAATAACATAACCTTGATTCAGAATTTCAATTTAGTTATCACATAAACGTGTTTATCTAGATCTTATTTGTTACGTGCAAGGACTTTAAGCAGAAAGGTGCAAAAGGGTGGATCTCAAAATGAAGGCTCTATGTAGAAAAAGTGCAAGGAATTTAAAGGGACAGGTATGACCAATCATACTTTATTCTCAGAAACTGGAATTTTTTAGCTGAGCAAATCATTTACCGACAGCTCGCTGTCGAAATTTGAGCCTTTAAAACTATGTTTGTCCAGAATTATCCCTGTTAAAATGTTGAAATTACGAGTCCGACTCATCTATGTCAGATACTCTGTGATATATAGAAAAGACATATATAGAAATAATGAGTAAAATTCCTAGTTAAACTTTGAGGTATTTTTAAAGGAATTATGTGATTTTCGTACATTTCTAGTACTTCTGAAGACTATTTACATATATTCAAGACTAAAATCAACCCCCAAAATGGCATATCTGTCCCTTTAAAGAAAATATGGATAGTTGTGTGATAAATAGAATCTTTCACTCATGCTTAAGTAATGTGAAATTTATGAATTTCATTGCTGGGTTAAATATTCCCCTTGAAATAGCTCAGGAAATATTAAATCTGGTAGCCCATCATAAATTTAATATAATATAAGCACTCGTTAAAGATAGTCTATGTCTTACCCAATACTAGTAAACCAAGCAGTGTTTTGTATAACAAGAATATGTAAGGAATATATCTCTGTATATGGTTTTAATGTTAAGTATTGTATTAATGTATTATGTCCAGTATTGTGTATGGCTAGTTTTGTATTTTGTATATTTTCCAGTCCAGCCAATGAGGACAATATCTCAATAAGTGTTCTGTTACTGTATTTAATATGTATAATGACAAATTACAAAATTATAGTGATACCGGTATAGTCATCTTATTATTGGTTTCACCAGTTCATAGTAAAATATAAATCTGACTATATGTCCATCTACAATTGTAAAGATAGTTCATCTACATCTTTGATGAGAAAATACTGAAATTTTCTAGTCGCTAATATATATGATACCCTGTCAATATTTGACAATTGCTATTTATATATATTTTTGTCGCTTATATATCAGAGATCTTGTCAATATTTGACAACTTGCCATATATATATATATCTTTGTAGTTTATATCGTATCAATACCAATCAGTAAGGAATCTATAGAGCTAGGAAATAGAATCTGATAACATTTATTTTCTATACTGAACTCATCATCACATCCAATTTAAGTGAACAAGGGAAAATTGTCACATATAGTATGAGAATACCCAAGCTATATGTAGGGGATTGGAAAGAGGTTGTGTATGGGGAACACTGATAGCATCAATTTTCACCATTCCAATTTTCAGTCAGATGTCTGTGGTTCCTGCAATTCCACAAAAAATTGATGTCACTAATGGCAAAATCAGCTTGTTTCACATTAGGCTCTTTACAAGTCATCATCAAACACTTAGTTTTAATAACTACAGTACAAACTTTGTAATATTAAAGTACTTCATTATTCATTGAATGTATTAGTATCTTTTTAACTTACAAGTTGTATATAGAACTAAAGTTTGTAGTTAATAGTATATTATAAAACTGAAGCTGGTAGTAAATAGTAGTAGTAGAATTTCCTAGTATTTCATCCTTTCTGAAAATATGAAGCTCAGTATTTTTTGGTCAGTATTGATTTGTATTAAATTTGCTGAGTGCACATAAAATTTACAAAAGTTATTTTGAAGCAGATACAAACTCCCCCTTCAACATAAAAGTTTTTTTTATGGTGCTTCACTCTTGAATAAGAACTAAGTGTAAAGCACTATCTATTTATTCAAATCAAAAATTACTATCTGTCTCAAATTATTATGTATCTTGATTTTGAAAAACCAAGATTACCGTTTTACAGAATAGAATATATAATATTTATTATGTGTTATATAACTAACATTCACCACAGGACTGCGACCTTATTGCTGCTTTGCACCATCCAAATTATCAGTTGGCTGTCTGACATCATTAAGTCTTTATAACTCTGACATCATTAAGTCTTTATAGCTCTGTTTTTTAATGGTTATATTATGGTCAATACAAAGTACATATTTCAATTTGAATATATTGTATTTTATGAAATTATTGCATGCTTGTTGTCTGTTTGTATTTTTATTTCAATAAATTTTACAAGAATGGAAGTAGTTCAACATCCCACATCTTTACAATGAAGCCTATTATGAACTTCTTCTTATACTTTGATTGCAATAGTCACTATTCTTGTATGCAGCAATTTGATTTGATTTTATATATAGCTCTCAATAGAAAGTCTATAATCAATAAACTATGATGTTGATAGTCTTTCTGTCGAGAGCTCTGATCTAGTCACTGTATTGTTTGATACTAAAATAGTGGCTATTGCAGTCAAGGTATAAAACAAAGTTTGTAATTGCTTGTCATTGTGAAGTTCAACACCCCATGACCTCTCTGTGACCTTTGACAGGTATATATCCTAGTTCTGCATGTCCAGAAGTACCCCCAATACACTAGTTGTCTTGTGCATGTTTGAAATGTGCAAACCATTGTTTAGAGGAGGAATTATAGCCTGTTGAAAGAATTTTGTTGTTTGACAGCATGTTATGTTGTAGACCATTAGAACCACTAATGTAGGTATATCTATGTTCTATTTTCTTCTAAATGATCTCACTAAATAATTTTCATAATGAATATGAAAACTATTTTTAAAAGTCAGGAATGTTTGTCTGTTGATTTCTCTATCGGCATTACATTTCATTACTTCCAAAAATATATATTAAATCTTGCATGTATTCTCCCACACCCACCTCATTGGAAACATATTTTAACATGAAATTTATGAAAAACCCTGTTTTCAAAATATAATGCATTTTTGGGGATTTCCTATTGGATTTTATACATGACAAATTGTTAATGTTTGTATTTATGTTGATTTCTGTTTATGACATAGCAAGAGCTATAGTATGTATTTACTTTGCTTAATAAAATATACAGAATGCATTTCAAAGAAATCCCTTTCCTTTCTTTGAAATAGAATCATGTTTTCAAGGAGTATTTTTAAATTTGAATTGGATATATGTATGTCTTGTGTTTTAGATGAGAGACAGATTTGGAAGAGAAATTCAAAGTACAAAACAAAGGAAGAAGAATTGGTTATTTTGGTAGTGAATATATAGACCTATGTGAATATAGCTCAATTACATGTCTCAGTAATTATTTTTATGAAATTTTACACCAATGTAGAAATTCCTCATGTCAATGCAGCATCAAACATAGATTACATTTAGAATTTAAAAGCACATCGAAAAGTACGAAAGATGTTTTTAGAATACTGAGGCTTTTAAACTGTGATTTTCAAAGATCTATGATTAAAAGAAAAGATTCCTGTCAAATAAGACTAACTATAATAGAACTTTCAGAAACTAAGATTTAAATCTCATTTCTCCTCATATGCTCAATAATCAATTTTGATGTAAGAAGTTTGAACTAAATGTAGCTAATAAACAATATTAGCTATATGTACTCTCCAACAAGGATTTTGAGTTGCAGAGTTGCATCAGGTGTTTCAAAAAAGAAAGCACACCTATCAATCTAGGGATATCTGTAACAATAGTTTTTAAAGTGATACTATGTCTTAGAATGAACATAAAATTTAAGTTCTCAAGAATGGTCAATATGAGTATATATTCATCAGTGAACTTACCTGGTGTCATAAAGTTACAACAGAATCCCTGTAAAATCTGGAAAATTGGAAAATTCATAAAACTAAGTAATTATTGAAAAACGCTTAATCTTAATATTAGTGTTTTTCACTAGTTAATTGCATTTTTATGGATAATTAAATTACTAAGTTTTTTGGATTTATCCGATTATATAAGGATCCTGTTATGTTATTTATGACAGTACTGTTGCTGGTCTTGCTAGCAAGGTAGGGCATGCTCATTCTTTAGGAACACCTGATGCCACTGTTCAACTTAGCTAGTCAACTCTATATAGCTAATAATTTTTATTCTGTATATTTATTTACATAGATTTTATTATCTTTAATAAACCACATTTGCAATGACTAAATATAAATTGGGCATGCTTTTTGTTCTCATTACAAAACCAAAAACCTAATGATAATTTGAAATGATTTCATTATTTATATTGTGTATTGATATGATTATTGTTTAGGTACCAGTATTTATTATTTATTGTTGGTTTTTTGTTTATTTTTATACACTTTATATTTAATTGTAATGTTTCATTTTTGTTAACTAAAACCAAAGATTTTTATTTACCTTATAGATCACCAAATAACAAAAACCCTTGTTGTAGAAATGTTTATGAATCATATATAGTTTTGTACAGTTTGTGCTTATGCTTTTTATTCACCAATCTATTTTCCTTCATCTTAAAAAATTTGGTTTTGCCTAGGGGCTGTATTTACAGGAATCATGGAAAATTTTGCCAGCACACAGGAACAGATAATAGCTCTGCGGATAAATTGCGTAAGGATCATTCATATGATTGGTCTACACTAAAATTGACTTTAAATTTATTTTTATTATCCAATCAAATTATTACATTTCCTGAAATCTGGATTTTATGTAAATTGATAGGGCCCTTTATGAATTGTAAATAAATATTTCAGTGTTAAATGTCTTTGTAAGGCTTATTTTCAGCTATTCCAGAGTACTAAACAATGCAGAACTTTTCGAAGTCATTGAATAAAGTATGAAAAAATATGGAATTAATGTGGAGAACAAGGGATTATAGTGGATGATTTTCATTCAGAAAACAAATTTGCTCAGTTATAATTTGTAACCTCTTCTCTCAGGACTGATATTCCATTTTTCATCTGGAATTTGTAACATTTATAGGTTTGTTTTTTTAAAACGGATATGATAAACATTTTGTGTCTGGAATATAATGCAACAAATAGGAGTGTAAGCATTAAAGGGTTTTTTCTAATTTGCACTCATGGCTTGCATTACAGCAATATTCAAATTTTGTTCGCAATAAATATTAAATAAATTCAAATTTGGTTTTCATGAAATGGTACAGAAATGCAATACAATATTTTCTCATTTAAAATTTCTATTTATCACTCGCCATGTTAATTGTAAAATGTTAAATGTGATATAAGATCATTTGATCAACAAAGGTATTAGCCTTTATTCTCTTAGTGAAAGTTTTTGTTATAAATTGAAACTGGCTCCAATGAAATGGTATTAGAACTTATACTGTGGACATCATAATCAAAAAGTTCCCATCGAAAAATATTGTAGTTACCAGCAATACCACTAGAGATATCTGAGAGACCACAGAAACACTGTAGAGTACTATACTAATGTAAAAGTTAGCTATAACTATTGTGTTGAAATGTTGCATAGTCATTTGTCGCTTTGATAATCATTTTGTGATGCAGTAATATGTCATGCTTCATGCCTGATAAATAAGTGTTCTTGAAGGATCATACGCAAAACCCTATCTTGTTTTTTCTTTTTGTTTTGTTTGTGTTTATAACATGCAAATGTTGGTGCTAATTATAAATGTTTATAAAATTAATTTGAGATTTAGTACTTTGATAAACCTATGATTGAAAAAGAGAAAATAGACAGAAAATTGCATCAACTAAAGATCAAATCATAATGAGATTTCTGACTTACTTCGCTGCACTATACTGGGATTATAAAGAAGGGCATCACATTACACTAGACTATCAGTTGGTTTCACTTAGGTTTTGTTTCATACTGTCTCAACAAAGTGCTTTCTCCATAATCACTTCATTAGACCCCATAAAAGACTGGTTGATTGTACACTTTGTGGCACTTATAACCTTATACTTTAAAACCCAACAGTCATTTATGTTGAGTATGGCAATTGAAGTGCCATTAAAGATGGTATTTTGATACCCACAATAGACCCTGAGTACTATAGAATATAGAAATGATTTCAAGTTCAACAAATATTTTATATACTCAATCAACTTAAAACAAAATTAATTCATTAAAAATACAGAAATATTATTCAGTATGGTACTTGAGAACCAAGTATATAAACAATAGGTCAATTAGATAAATTTAGTCCGAGTGATCATTTCTAAAACTTCAGCTCAACATCAGTTGTCTTCTGATGTCTTATCCCTTTGATGAATTCAAAATTATTCTTAAAACAGTAATAACATAATATTACTAAATTACTAACAGATTGCTGTACACTGATACTGGACATTAGGATTTAGTCTTGTAAAACAGTTCAAATATCATCAGTTTGAGATCTTTTATTGGTCAATCCATATTTGTGAAAGCGTCATTAAAACAAACGATGTCATAAAATCCTGTTAAAATAAGTTGAAATTTTCTTGGTATTACTGAGAATATAATCATCATTGACAATCATCGTATCTCGACTGATTTCTACCATTATATTCCCCCCTATTCTGATATTTCGAACTGTTATAGGGTTTAGGCCTGGAATCTCTAGTTCTACTGTAAGACGACCAACCACTCTCAGAATACTGTCTTTTATTATAGCCACTGTTATAAGAATCTAACCCTCGTGAGTAGTTCATACCCCCATACTGAGATTGACTGTCTCTATTGTATGAAGATTGTCTCCATGGTTCATCTAATCTGCTCCCAGATGGCTCATCCTCATATCCCCTATAGCCATTTCTACTTGGTTCATCAAACTGACTTCTAGAGTAGCTACTATTTTCACTTGACCTCCAATTGAGTTGACTAGCACCACCTCTATCTTGAAAGTTGTTTGGTCTGCTATCATTCTCCCTTTCTCTTCTATATTCTTCTTCTGCAGCATTTCTGTAATTCAATTTACAATAACATTACAATAAACAAGACAATTTAATCTGGGGAGATAGGAGGCTGGAATGGAGGAGTCACACACTCAGGTTGGGGTACCTGAGTGAAGTATCTTGATACCATTTACTACAATATTGGTTTGGTAATACAAAAGGTTTACATGAGGTTTTAAAAAGCATTAAGATTTGGAAAGATATCTTAACCTTCAGACTATACCTGACTATATCACTATCAGGGCCATATCTTAATGCATTTAAATAATTCTCACGTTCAATAGGGTGACCTCTGGCTTTATTAAATGCTGAAAAGATAAGATTATAAATAAAAATAGTTAATTTGGCATTATCTGGTGTTTATTTTAATTCAAGACCTCATGAAGTGCTATAATGTGATGATACCAATCACTTGATCACATGACCTACACTAACGTTCAACAGATATTATCCCAAGTAGGTTTCAATATTGCATCTCACACAAACTCAGCAGGAATTTAAAATTTCCGACACTGTTCCATAAAAAGGTTGGTCAATGTGAGCCAGACTTAAATATTTGCTTTACCAGCTGGATATGTCAGCCATATGTATCACTTATTAGAATATTTGTTTTGAGCAACAAATATGACAAAATTAAATAGTCAAATAAAAATCCAATGAAATCATTAACTATATAACTAACTAACCTGCAATAGCTGATTCTGGTTCTTGGTTTAAACAATCTATCATATACCTGTAATACAATAATCAAATATTTTCACAGCTCAATTTATCTATTGCAGAACAATATACCACACAGTTAGGGCTGGTTAAAATGATCGAAATAATTGATTATCATTGCAAAGGACTTTCATTATTTCCATTATCAAATTGCATAATCAATCATATGTCTAAGTTTCCATTTTCTCCACTGTACCTGCTAACAAGCAGTAATCTCTTCTACATCTGTTCCCTTCAGCACATTATTTACCCTACTTCTATGAAGAAGAAATAACCCATGACATTAAGTCATTTGGCATGCTTTTAATTTAGAATTTACAGAGTTTCTCAGTTAAAGTATTTCTATTCTTAATGAATTATAGATCGATAGTCTGCTAAAAATAATCAATCTCAAGTTTGTAATCAATACTTAGCCCTAAACACAGTACTATATTAATATAACAGAAATGTATATTTAAAAAAACACTCTCACCCTTTACCAGTGTCTTATGTTGAATAGTACATTTAGCTTGTTATATTTTTAATCACCCTAATTACTATTTAATAATATATAAAAAATATTTCTTTTTCAAGAGGCCAATCTACTTAAAATACACTCTGCAAATTCTTCTACTCTTGTTTTTTTTTTATAACCTTTTATAGAAATGACTCAGTTGTCAGATTTAAATTATTATCATTTCAGCTCTGAATTTTTCAGATAAAACCTTTAACAAGAATTGTTTTCCATAGGATGATATTTTACACAATAGCAATCAACATTGTTCTCAGTTTTTATTATATACCTTACCTGCATACAATGTAACCAGTTCTGTTTAACCCATGAGTACAATGTACTCCTATTAGAGATTCTGAAAACAAAGAAATCAGGTGTTGCTAATAAAGTCAAATCAACTACATCATACATGTCCACTCTATTTATTGAATTAGCCATTCAGTTTATTATTTCCAGGACACAATTTGAAATATATGTTGAATGTGTTCAAACAAAGAAATAGTTAGGCAAATAAATAATCAAATAGTAACTCACCACTATCTGGATTGGTTTGTAAAAATTCATTAACTATATCTTGAAATCTGAAAATTAACAATTCAGCGAAGATCACTATTAGAACATCCTCTGTATAACATGTCTTAAACTATTAAATATTTCTACAGTGCTTCCCTTTAACAGATAAACTCCATATTTGAGACCAATTTTTACATTTGCACTTGCTGTGGGTATTTTTGTAAATATGAACCCCAGCACGAAACTTGTGAATAAAATAAGCTTATAACAATAGAAAGCCGCTCCTGTATAATGTTGTTTTTATAGCTTTAAATTCAGGGCTATTAATTATTAAGCTATTTGAATAAAGAGAACTTTAAAAAGGTATGTGGTTAGTTAAAACCTTCTGACAGTTGATTATTTTAAAATGTCATAATCCATATTTCAAAATAAAATTCTAATAAAATAACATATTTACCTTTGGCAGACTTCACTACTTGGTATAACTTTACCAGGTGTAAATATCTTTTCATATTTCACAGATTTAGACTCAAAATCCTTTAATACAAAATGTTCACAGGAGATTAATATTCTTAAAGTGATTAAATTTGAACCTTATCTTCGCCTTAAGTTTATGTATACACATACCAAGTTTTTTCGGCTTAAAACTGTAGGTTCAAGAGCATTTTAAAAGAGAAAGTGAAAGGATGGACTGAAGATACATTTATGCATATGATTGTAAAAGAGCAACACTCTAAAAGCCTAAAAGCTATAGTTAAGTGATGCTCATTTGCACAGGACAATAAATAAAGAGAAAACTTAATAACTATTTCCTTACATTTTTATTATAGTATTTATCTGTATTTGTGAGATCTATCACCAGTCCTAGTTCTTTTCCTTGGTCTTGTAATTGTGACAATAAACTTTTGGGAGTAAACCTGCAAAAAAAAAAATAATTATTTGTAAGGAAAGCTGAGACATATGCTTTAGGCAAGTCATAAGATGTTAATGTTATGTTTATTATAGTCAATTACAGTCAAGTAACCTAATTTCGTGGAAACCTATTATTCATGGATTTGCGGAAATGATTAATAATTTACATGAGCGACCTTGCGCGACCTCCGCATTAGTTTGTTTTAATAAACATGCGTTTTCTCTACAATATCAGCTAGTAGAATGAATCCAGTAGTTTCAAGCAAGGTAAAATGTATTAATGTATACTTTGACAAATATAAAATGGCGGATTTCACTTATTACCAAACGTCACCATTTTTTTAGCGGCCGAATTTCCTTATAATCCCAAGCGGTAATCGGAATTCCAAGTGTCGTCTGCTAGAATGTAGTCCAACGAATGAAGTCACATGATCAACTAGCGGATTCTGTGTCAGCAGAAAATTTCTACGGAACACAAAGTGGACCATATTCTTATGTTGTTTCAATGACTTTTAGCAATAAATCACGCTACGTATCTTATTTTGTCAGTCACTATTTTTTTTAAAAATCATGGTTCTTTGAAGGAATTGTCACTAATTATAATGAATTGATATTAAAGATAAATACTAAGAGAAGTTAATTATACCACCCGGTATCCATACAACGTGTTTTTCTAGACTTATTTATAGATCAAACATTGTTCACGAAAATAGGTGACGCATTCTGCCGCCGTTGCCGAGTTGGTTGCTCATGAAATATTGGTCAAAGTGAATTATTCATAAAGAAAATCGAAATAAACCAATCTTAATTATTTAGTAGAATATCTGAGGAAACATCTAAGACATAAAAATTTTTTTTCGTTTTTTTAACTTTGACGAAATTCGGTGTTGAATCCTTATATCCACGAAAATAGGTTACACCACTGTACCACAAAAGGATATCTAATATGACTTACCATTCTTTTGGTGGAAGATTTCTCCGCACACATCCCTAGAAAAAGAATGTAGATAAAACTATGATTTGTGTTTAAAATATTTCAGAAGTTGGAACCATAAAAGAACTAAAGATCAGAAACATAATATCACAAAATGAAACACTTGTATTAGAGAACTTTTCGCCCAATACTAATGATATATATGATGAAAATATTAGTTTATATTTCTAATGTAATCTTCTATTTCAAAACAAGTCAACGTTTTTTCAACCTTCCTTTGAATTTTACCATTTAATTCAAGAAATTCGATCGAAACGATCATACTGAATGTACTATTACCCTGTGAGTGCCTTTTGTTGGATAGTATCTTGTTACCTTTCAACCACCCTAATTTCTATTACTTACTTCTTTTAAAGGTACCTTGAAAGCAATGAATCTGGTACCATCTATTATGCCACCCAATGCCTTATAATCTAACCATCTAAAATATAATTTTAATCTTAAAAGAATGTTTAATTATTAAAACCAAAGGATAAAATGATTTTAAATCAAAGAATGACTTAAATGAGTAGCCTACTTCTTATGTGCCAAATTTGGTAATTACAATCAAAAAAATTCTATTAGAAAATTCGAAATAATATAGTGAGACCATAAAAGATTGGATACAATCTGTAGTATAGTAATGAAAAATTATTCTTGAATGGCTTAACTATTCATATTTTATGCCATTATAAATTGTTACAAATTAAATTCTGTCAATCTGCCATTAGGTCTTTTACTTTCACTTTCTGTCTGGTGCAATCCATTTACGTGCATGTAGAGAATCACATTTTTGTTGCCATGCTGGAATTGAAAGTGTATTTATCAAGATCAGAGTTAAGCAAAAGTCTGATTGAAATCTAGTTGTTTAACACAGATACGAAATAAACTGTTAAGTCTACAGTTTTCTAGCAACCTACCCATTTGGGATTTTCATTTCAAACCAAACTATTTCATATATTTCTTCAGAAATAGAAAATCACTTTGTCGTGTGTTTACAAATATAGCAAAACGGAAGTTTATAAAATTAAAGTTCAAGGTCGTCAATCAACACAACGCAATCAAGTACGATTTTGATTGAAAATAAAATTTCCACAAAAAATCCACACATTCACAAACTTTGCCACGTCATTTACTCTAATATATATCGAAAGTTAGGCCATAGAACTATGACAGTTCTTATATTTCTATGGTAAGTCCTATTACAATACTTTTCACATCATGTCATTTTGTTGGTTACGTTTTGGTTCAAAATATTGAAATTAAAGGCGATTTGACTTAAGCCGACAGGTCACACTGACCTAATGCCAATAGCTTAGACTTCTTGTCAGTATACAGTTCTATGATGTAATATCAAACATGACCAACGAAATTGGGCTGTGCTTGTTCTCCTCTTTAGTTCGATTGAAAATGGGAAAGAGACAAACGTAAAATAAAAAGCTGTATCATGGCTACAGAAGTTAAACTCGGAAGATGCAACTTGGATCACGGATGGGAGAAATGGCGGTAAATTTAAATGTAAACAAGAACAGCTGATCTCTGAAAGCAGACGTCGATGTGAACGTTAACGTCTGCCTTCAGAGTTCAGTGCATTTGAAGAGCTACATTCATGGAAACATGTTACGTGCTCTAAACCGATTGTTTTGAAGAGCCAAATCTACTTTTAGTAGGGAAAGTTTGTACCTGTGTGTACACTACTAGCTAGAACTCTTGGCATCAGTCAGGTTTTTAATTAAAATTCATTGGCGCTAGTTTTAGTACCGGTAGCCTAAACTAGGCTAATCTTGAACTAAGTGGATCTGTTTTAAATTCCATTTCTAATTCTAGCCTAGCTGGACTAGGACTAGATCACATATCTGATCATCTTTGCCAGGGGCAGGGTGAGAATTTCCTTTACTTTTAGTTTTTATTTACATGTATTTTATTCCATGACACATTGAACATTGTCCAATGATGGGCCTATAGATAGATCTAGATTTAGATCTTATATGAGATAGCCTCTGTGTCACCAATGATTTAATGATCCCCATGCTCTTGATATATCATAAATGATAATAGTCTAAAAGTTATTAGATAAGCTTACTTATGATTTTATTAATATTAGGCCGGGCCTAGTAAATTTCATCAAAAAGAATTAATATTGATATGTTGATTATCTATGTTGACTCTTCATACATCTTCCTTAACCTTGGCTTGTTTTCTCCTGAACTCCCTTTTTCAGTTTTAAATATAACATATGAAGACTGAAGACATAATTTAGGATAAGTCTTGATCCAATCTACGCAAAATGATAGGTCAATATCATCTTATTTCATTTTTCTAGGACCAGACTTATTTCAAAGTGCGGGATCAGAAGTTTAAGATATAAGTATAGAAGGCCTTAAATAAAGATGTTCTACAGCTTGGAACTGTTACAGAAAAGGGGAGGGCAGTTTGGGATTATCTGGTAAGCTAGATTCTTGAACCAAATGCAAAATAATTCTTATATATCATCTTAGCTAGTTGTCATTACAGATAAATGCATACCACTTTATTTATCACTTGAAAGAGAATAAGAAAGAGAAAGAAACAGTTGTATTTTACAACCATAACAACTGACACCTAAATTCTGAAGAATGCTCTCTTCCAGCTGGTTTTGAGATGGAACTATTTCTGATTATCCGTACAGCATTGTATACATTAAGGCAACTTATAGCTGGGTCACCTGATCAACATTATCGTCATAGTCATTATGAGCAAAGCTACTTGCTGAACACTATATTGGGTCTTGATATCTTTTCAGGGTGGCAGCTACAGAAGGTGCCAAGTTAAACAAAAGACAGATAACCGGAGTTCGATTAAAGAAAGCTTGGTTTGTGTATTTTTTACCGACATTTGATTGATTCTCACTTTAATCGGGATTGATAAGTTTATTGAAAAAAATGTCACTGCATGAGTACATGGTCAATGTTTCATCCAGCTCTAACATGGAAGTCGTAAAAGTTGAATTGGGATTGTGCTGAGAATAATTGCCTATAAAAACCCTTCCATCTGATACAAGCTTTTTGTTATTAATCTCTCCAACATCAGACTGGTTTTAAGGGCACACTGCCCAGATTATGTCTTCTATCTTGCACCAAGGTCAATTATAGGTAAATCGGGATGAACTAGAGTTCTTGAGAACTAATGCTTTTGGAATTGCATATTATAAAAATTGTTCATGGGCTTTCTAATTCTATTTTGTAGTAATGATATTATAGACTACATTATGGTAAGAGGTCATCATGAATATGGTACTGGTAAATCAAGAAAAAGATTCTCATTATATCTCTCTTCACAACTAATGTATGGTGTGGTCAAAATCTACAACAGACAAAATGATTATCTACTCAGTAAGTTTATAGAATATTTTAAATCAGAGTTAAAAAGTTAACTATATTGATTTGAAGATGAAATGTTTCATTTCAATACATGTGCAATATAATAGAAATACCAGTTTACTTTTTGCTTTTTACTTCAATTGCTGAATTAATAATAATGATAATCTGTATTACAAATGGGCTTTATATTACCATGATCATGATAAGATCTTTAGTAACCCACTGATAGGAATGTCTTCCATTCTGCCCCTTATGAAATAGAAACTGAATGACTGATGGAATTAAGGGATTAAAATTGTACACACATCATGTGCATGTTCGATTGTAAATAGATTGCGACTGATTTTTCATTTCAGCTGATGCTACAACATTTATGGCAAGATTAAGATTTGCCTCCTCTGCCAGAGCTGACATTGAATTGAGAGAAACTGCAAAGTAATTATCAATTTCTTAAATATTGAGAATATAAGTGATTAATATTACAGCTAAACATAAGGTCATGATGATATGAAAGGTCTTATGGCATGAATATAGGCCTCAAGAATAAATTCCTTCATCTGATTTATGACGAATCTTATCAATATTTTTTAGTTTTCTGATTGATTATAATGGTTTTGTGATAATCCATTGTCTACAATTAATGTTTATTCTACGATGCACAAAATCTTCACCTCTATAAGGGTTATGTGCCTGATACTATTGCATAATTTTATTACAGTTCAGAGTTGGTAACTTTACCAGACCCAACTCATATTGCGGATCCTGAAAATGAAAATTTTGAAGCAACATTCGGCAGATTATCAAATAACTATCAGGAATCTCTGTTTGCTCATGAGGTAGGGATAAAATGAAAGGCAAGGCTTCTATTATTGAATGCTCACATTAGAGCAGTAATGAGTGCTACACTAAGTTCAATAATCTTAATAAGGTATTACGTAATTTAAACACAGATAGTCATTTGCCCATTGAAAAGTAATTATCATTGAGATTTAAAGGTTAAAACATATCTTTTACGCATAACTTCAAAAGATTTACATTTTCTGAATATGCTAAAGATCAATCATACAGCTAGCAAAATGTTTAGTATAATCCACAATAATCTAATATGAAAAGTGGTTTTATTTTATCATTCAAAGAATCACTAATCCATTGATTACATAGGCCTACTTTTATTTTATAATCATGGTTTTCAGAGGTTACGATTCACAAGTTCATCATCAGATATGGATGAAATGTTATCACCTATAGCAGATATAAATATAGCTCCATTTAGACCAGGTGAGTCATGTATAAAAACCTTAGCTAAGTGAAGTCTCTAAAAGTCATCTTGAATTGACAATCCATCAAAGTTTGGCAAAGGACATTGAATTTTCTCATTTCCAAAATGGTATCCAACATTAATCTTTGAAAACTTCAAACTGCATGTGCTAAAGATAACCCCTTCTCTGTCTGTATCTCATTCTTTTAAGATTTCATGTGCAATAACAGACAGTACACTACAGTCAGGCTATTCCATCAAGATATTTTTTATAAGACATCTGTATTTTCTTTCTTGATTTAATCATTATCTGTGTTTTCAGAGGATATAATGGGCAGCAGTCCTCATACAGTTTCAAGTTTAGACGAAATAACATTAAAACAAGCTCCATTGCAATCACATCTATCTACAGTAAGTTTGCTCTTCAATGGGTTAATTGGAATGGTGTTGTAAGCTGGCACTGAACCCCTGAAAATTCTTTCAGGCATCAGAAATTTTCTTTTTCCTATATCACAGTTGAGTTGTTTAACCACTCGCTGACAATCAAGAAACCCTGATATCCACGCACTTTTTGCTGCGATTTTTACTATGTTATCAGGAATAGCAATGTATGGATATATGGTACTCTGCTGAATATATTTTTTTTTTTTTGTATTTAGATGCAGACTATAGATGAAGAGTTATTATTTGGGTTACCAGATATAATAGACCATGTGTCTGAGAGATTAGAATCAGTTGATGTACCTACAGATCAATCTGCTGAAGCTAGACCAGTATCTCCTATAAGACCTCACACTCCTCTACAGACAACTATCACTGAGTAGGTTTGAAACTAGTATTTTATATTGCTATAGTGGTTAATCTATGATGAACAATTATATACCTTCATAATCTTACATAAACCTCTTGTAAAGGAAAACAATCATTTCTTTTAAATGAAATTGTACATTGTATCAGGCAAAACATTACAAACTTCTGACCACGGACACTTGTGATTCTGCACTTATCAATGTCCCAAAGACTTGAAAAAACTAAAACAGATGCAAATAACTATCAACAGTAGCTAAAATGAAAATATATAGACAATAGTAAAAACTCATATAAATAATATAGAAAATATATAAACAATAGTAAAAACTCATATAAATTCTATAGAAAATATATAAACAATAGTAATTTATGTTATCTGTTGGTACAATGAGACTATATTAAGGTATATATATGTCATACTATGATGGCAGAGCTGTAAATAGGGTTCTATGAGGCAAAGTGCATCAAGGCAACTAATTTTTGGGCGAATGGTCTAGACCAGACTATAAAGACAGTTTCCTTTTAAGGGTTAATTCTTAAATGTTTTCAGGGTACCAATCATACCTGTTCATGAAACACCAATACATCGTTCTGGGGAAGACATTACAAGAGAGGGTAGAGACAAACGTAAAAGACAAAAATCACCAGAAGTCACTCCCGGTCATAAAGAGTCACGATTAGAAAGAAGAGAAAGAAAGGTAATGCTATTTGGATGATTTGTCATAGAACTGCATTTCTTTTACTGGTAATAAAAATGTGATTGCATAGCACATGAGCATGTAACAACACTAAGTTACTTCTGAGTAATCAAAGAATTTGCATTGATATTTACAGTGCATTATTACTTCATTTTGCTATTATTTCTTACCTTTATCATATTATATACACCCAAACAGTGATGTTAGTTCGATTTAGGAAACTTTCCTTACCACTTTTAGTTTTACTCAAAATTGCATATATGTATGTTAAATGTAGTTTGTGTTTAGTTTGTGCGGAACATTGAATCCACACAAAAAAATTTAACAAGAAATTTTAAACCCCCAACACCAAATTAACAAGGCAGAAATCTTAACCTGAAACTTGTTGTGTATTATAGAGAAGTCGTCAACAGTTAGTTTTAGATGAAATAGAAATGCCACCGCCAGTACACAAACCACGTAGAAGAAGGAGACTAATTATTGATAAGGATACCCAGGTATCTAAGGAGGACTTTAAAAAGAATCTACAGAATCCAAATACTTGTTTACCATTTGTGAGTTAGATTTATTTTGTTCAACTTTCCTACAATATTGATTAATACACGATAAAACTCTTTAGCTAATGATCTCAGAATTTTGGTATGAAGTAATCAAAAGAAGAAATCTGTTTTATATCTAACTTTGCCAATCCATAAGACCAAAAGTCCCAAATGCTGAAAAAACACCTTGAGAGGACAGTGCGACATTTTGGAGGGTTGATTTGAGGGTTGAATATATGTAAATAGTCTTCAGAATTACTAGAAATGTACGAAAATCACATAATTCCTTTATAAATACTTCAAACTATGAATTTTACTCACTATTTCTATAATGTGTTTTCTATATATCACACAGAATCTTAAATTGACAAGTTCTCATTTTAACATTCAAACGTAGATAATTCTAGACACACATGGATTTGAAGGCTAAAATTACGACAGTGATGGCTCCTCTGTCCCTTTAAATGAGTCTGAAATCTATCCTGAATCATTCAAGATTGTAGAGAACAGGAAAAGGTCAATGTTGTGTTCAGTCCACTGCGTCCACCAAGATAGAAACAATGTCCAGATTTAAAGCAATAGAACACTGTTTGTCTTCACAAGAAAATAGTTACTTCACGAAGACATTTGATCAAAATCTAATTTGATTTGAAGCAATTCATCTAAGGGCCATTTTTGCAACTGGTTTTGTCGACTTCTTTTTCCGGGAAAGCAAATGCCAATATTTATTTTTACCACAGCTAAGAATGTTAATTTGATACATCACAAATATGTCATCTGAAACAACTTGCAAATCTTTATGTTCCAGGTTTTACCTGATTTTAAAGCCAAGACTTTTGAAGATTATTTAAAACAGCCAGGAAGACGTAAGTTGTTCTGATAATCTGGACAATGTCCTCAGCGTGGAATTGTTACTACCTTATGAAAAAAAGTCTTATCATTACTCAAAAACCATCAGTTATTGAAATAATTCTAAACCATTCCCAGATCAATAACAAGAAGTTATTCCATTTAAATCATTTCTTAATCATGAGAAAATATCAATTCTTTCAGCACTGTGTAAACCATTGCTGAGGTTGTATCAAAGAAATTGTAAGCTTCCTCGAACTGGTAGGTACAATTCTTCTTCAGTCTTCTTTGATGGGAAAACACCATTGTGTCACCGGGAATTTATACAATATTTCCTAAAACTGTTCACTCTGATTTCCTGAATATAGCGATTCTGGGCAATCATTTTTACCTCACTAACTATTTATTGCCAATCTCAGCAACTGACAGCTATTTAAACACAATATAGTCTCTGCTCTTTTATAATAGCTTTTAAGTTGCAATTCCATGAATAACTACAGGGGCTCTTGTTTAAACCTACAAGCTTTTATCTTGTCAACTTTAAAATTTGGAAAATTGACTGAATTTATTATATTACAGTTGTATTATCTGAGAGTGAATACAGCTCATCAACATTGACCAGTTCCTCTCCACCCACTGGTACTTCAGTCTCATCACCTACAACACATCCAGAAACAGAAGTTCTCTGTTCACCTAGACACTTTCCATCTTCACCTAGACATCCTCCAGCATTCGAGTTAGGACAGGCATCAGAATTAGGTCAAGAGACCTCACCTGGGGTAAGCATTAAAGGGATTGTAAAGATGTTTTCTAAAAAATTGTATGTGTAACACGAATACTCATAGCATCAATTCGCATCATTCCAATTTTCACACAAATGTCTGTGGCTCCTGAAATTCCACAAAAAAATAAGTGGTTGATGACATCACTAATCGCAAAATATGCTTTTTCAGACCCATCGTGGGGGCTGAGCCCCAAAAAGTAAGAATTAAGCCCCAGCAAAACCTTCTTCTGTTCAACAGAGATTGATTCATTTACAGTGTCTTTGTACAAAATCAAAAAGATATAGATTTAGATACGTTTTTGGCGCCTCAAAACTGTCAGAAATTAGTTCTCTGGGCCTTGAATTCTTCAAAATCTGAGCCCCAGCACTAATTCATTCCTGGCAACGGGGCTGACCCTTCTTATTCTTATCCTATCATTGAGTTCATCGAGTGTATATGCCAAAAAGCTGACAATGTTTAAACATGTCTTATTCAGAAGTCTTACTCGATGGAAAGAATTAGATTAGATACAAGTGGTAATATATCAACAGAGAGAGCAGTTTCATTTAGTCATAGTTCAATAGATGGTTCTTTAATATTAGAACAGAGCAAGCTTCCAGAAACCAGGTAAGTATTCGTCTTACAACTGATAGAGCTGAATGTCACCTTCCAAATGCAGAATGAAATGTTTATTTGTCTCACATTTTTATGTGGGCTACTTGTACAAAATTGTCGCTGATGTAAAAGTCTTACAGGAATTTTTTTAGCTATTTTAAAATAGCGACAAACATGCTTGTATATGCATAATTATGTGCCACAAGCTTTGGAATTTTAAAAGTAAAAATGATCAATAACTAAGAATTCTTTACTTTTCTGTGACTCTGATTACTTTGCTTTCTAACCATCATACCATACTGTCCTGATAAGGATTGTATTTCCAAAACACAGGTCAATAATCATATTCTATTAATTTGCAGTGTCAGTAGATTAGGAGAGGTCAGTGTTGTAATAGAAGAAGAAAATTTATTAGAAGACCATGCAGAGATCCCAGAGCCTGCAGCACCTTTCTTAGAGAGTCCTGTTGAAACAGAAAAACAAGTGTCTCCTCGACAGTTTATTAGGTAAAATAGGGGTGGCCAGTGACAGTAGGGAAGCTAATTGAATTCATTGATTCCTAGCAGAGTTTATTAGGTACTTTCTCATTGAAGTATTTGTTATATTCTGTAGATTTTAAAATGGCAAATTCTAACTCAATAAAAATATGCTATAATCAGATGGGACTGGCATGGAAAATATTATAAAACATCAGGTCAGAAAAGTGACATGGTGCTGTATCAGGTACAGAAAAGTTAGATGTTAAACTCCATTTCATTTCCTATCTTGCAGAGAATTAAGGTTGTCTACTGCCAATGGCCAAGAAACAACATTTAGAGAATTGGTACCACCTGAATCTACTACCAGACCAATTGCAGCCAGATTATTTGCTAAATTACTAGGTAAGTGTGGTCACCTATAGTTTCAGTCTGAGAGAATTCACATCTCCCTGAATTGCAAACTGAGCACTTGATAAGTCACTTGTTCAAATATAATTTTAAAAGTTTTTTTGGGTGATTTTCTATAAATGATACCTACTGTTCGTATGTGACATATTTTGTCATCTTAAAATGGAATATAATAGAACAGATGACAGATAATGGATTGTGCATGCTCACAAAAAAATAAATGGCTGCACATGTTGTCTTTATTTTGGTATCCAATCCTTGATCAGCAAATATTCTGTCATTATGTCATCTGATGATGACCATGTACCCATTGTGTTGAAATGTTATGTACTTTGTTGTATATTCTGTTATTAAATTAATAAACTTCTGTTTGTAGAAATGTGCAAGAATGGCCAAGTTGCTGCAAGACAAGAAAGACCCTATGGAGATATCTTCATTACACAAATTGAAGTCTTTTAACTACAGAATAAAAATGAAAACCTTTGTTATAAAACAACCTCAACTGTACAAAATTAAATCTTTCAATTTCAGCTTTTGTGACTCAAAAGCTGTAGTAGAACCCAATCCACTATTGCCTTATGAAAGAATATTTAAAAAATCATATGGTACTCAAATTCTAGGCCTTGTTCAAATGTTAAAAGTTTTATATATTAAAAATATGAAAGATGGTGTTGAGAGAGTACTGAATGCTTTATCGTTAGCGAATGACAGAAATAATAGTCCATGACTCACCGTTACCATGAAAAATTATGAATTTATCTCAAAGTCATGGAATAATTTATATGGCACCACCAATCAGAAACAGAATTTATGTGATTGTCGGTGCCTAATGCCAGGAATAGTTGTGAAAGTTGAAAGAACCATGGTCCATTTTGATGCATTACCATGTACATTGTTAATTGCTATATTTAAATATTTATTATGCTTGTTATATTGTTTTAAATGATTAGATTTTAATATTAGTATATTATGTTCAAACATTGTGCCAAAATTCTGTTGATTTTAATTGTTATCTGTTATCAACGAAAGATGTACAATTATAGCTAATTTTTAATGTGTTTCTTTGTTAATTGTTAGGTGATAGATATTGATTATGCTTGTTATATTGTTTTAAATTTTTATATTTTACTAGATTTTTATTAGTATAATATGTTATAACATTGTGCCAAAATTCTGTTAATTTTAATTGTTATAATTATTGTTATTGATATTTACCTATAATAATGAGAGATGTATAATTAAAAGGCTAAATGTACCAGTGATCAATGGCAATTTTAACTCTAAAACTTTTACTATTATTGAAGGTAACTGTGAAGCTTTAAAACTGATAAAGAATCTGTACTAGACAGGCATGGCATGCTTACTCTTTTACAGCACATGATATCACATATGTGTTAAATTGATATCCCTTTTTTCTTTTATTTGGTTTTTATTTGTATCTATGACATTACATTTATTTCTAGATGTAACCAAATTGCCTAATAAGTGACAATTCTGGTACAAAGTATGAATACAGTTCCACAAACCTCAACAAATGTAAATATTTCATCTAGGTTATGATAAATTTATATTTTTTTTAATGAAAGTATAATGGTTGTATTTAAATTGTGTTGTTAATGATTATGAAAATAAATTTATATTTATCTTGTTGAATTCTCATCAAAAGTGTTATTTTTCTGGTTTTAAGACAGTAATTAGTAAATATCAAATCAAATATTAATTTGTCATGGCTTTGTCGTTTTGAATTCATTTAAAAATTTATTTTTGCAATGGAGATGAATAGAATACGCTAATGTTCGATAAGAAAAAATAACATATTTGGATAATGATTTTAATTGCAATCATCTAAGGTGTTATTTATTTAGGCCTTTCTGTCAAATTATTCTCGAGAGTTTGGTGGCATCACATTTTCCAAAACACATTTCCTTATTTTACATTTTAAGATCAGAGATCTAGTGAAATTAGTATTCAAATCAATCAAATGAACCCAGTCTTTTTTCAACTCATTTTTATGTCAAGACTCCCCCACCCCTCCCTTTGGTAGCCCCTTTTTGAAATTGATTTATCCTTCAACCAAAAAGGATATAACTGCTATTCTCACATTTAACAATAGAAACAGTGTCTTATAATACATCTGCTGATATTAAAACAATTAACCGATTGAGGTGAAATTTGGTCAGAATACCCCGAATAGAGTCTAGAACATCATCAGGTGGAATTTTAGTGGATAAATAATTGAAATCGTAAAGAGATAGAATATTCCTCAAGAATTTGGAAATAGGAATAAGTTTGAGAAGAATTTGGAACATGATTACGTGACCAAAATGTCTAAGGCCAGTGCCTCTATAAGTTTGAAAAGTATATTCTTTAGCACCTACTCTCTGGCCACATTAAGTTCTAATTCATATTTTGGCTATCATTTTTGTATGAATTGAAATATTAATCTCCAAATATTGCTGAGAGTCATAATTGTCTTTGGGTTGATGAAAATGCCAACCATTGAAAACAAAATTATTTGAAACTATGATTTTACAGAGGGAGATTTTCACATGAAATTTCTCGGAGAGAAGTGTGTTCATTTCATGTGCAAAATTTTTCAAAACTTATATTCATGGACCCAAAGGCATTCTAAGACAATTGGTATGCACTTGAAAATCATATTTTGAATATTTGTGACATGAGAGAAAAAATTCAATTTAGAACTCAATGTGACCAGAGAGTAATACCAAAATTTGACAATATATTGATTTATTTGAACACATTTGAAAGCTCATTTTCACTGCATTTGAAGAGCACCTTGACTACCAAAATAGCTGATTGAGCTGGATATTATTTATCTATAACAGATGTTACAGGACATTTGATTATCTGTTCAATGATGAATTGCTTATGACCTTCACTTGAACCGACTGTACCGTATGAAACGTATAAATTCCTCAAACGACCTTGACTGTTCAGTATAACAGTATGGCGTCCCTATTTGCCCATGTTGAAGTCGCAGCACCGATCGAAGTGTTTGCTTTGACAGCAAAATACAATGAAGATAAATTTCAGGATAAAGTGAATTTAGGAGTTGGAGGTGAGTCTTTTATTTGTGAAGATCCTTCCTGTTTTATAATCATAGCAGATTACTTGCAAGAAACTCGTCACTTGAAGACTGCATGATATAACAATAGGGGAGAGTCGGGTGTTTTCGTACGGTTGTGATGCTGATATTTTCAAGCCGAAATCAAGGGAGTAATATTACGTTTTAGTAATAATAAGTAAACGCTACTTTATATACAATTCCCATGAAGAATTAATAATGTATGATATGATGTTTCAACTTTGCAGCAGTTCCTACAATATCAGACAGAGTATTTATATTTTTTTTGGCCCCATGTGCCATGTAATACTATAGGCCTAGTGCCAGTGTTAAGAGTGAAGAAGTTCCTAAAAACTTCTATGTAAAGCACTGGCCAAGGTCACAAATACCAATGCCAGTGGTGGGCTACTGGCGATTTCTTCTGGAGTTCTGGCAAATGCCTAAAGAACTATTGACCCTATGCCTAATGTGAAATTGTACTCCAAACGAATATATGACAAATGATATGATGATTTACATGGAAATATCAAATTAAAAATATTTTATATTTGTAATACCCCTGATACCGGTATGTTAATAGTTATGGGAAGACAATTTAGAGCTGATTACTAATGTTACCCTTGTGTGGCCTTGAAAGGAAGTCTATTTTCCTATTTTAAATTACAATTCTAGAAATATTAAAACAGAAAATGTAATGAAATCCTTTGTTTAAGATCATAAGAGTTACATGCTAAGGCTTTACAAAGGTTCACAAATTATATTAGAAGAGTTTTGAACATAACTTTCAACTTGTGTGTTGAATAAAATCTCCTTTTTCTGTCACTCAAACTTTCTGACTACACTGTTTAAACAACATGCATACCGCTACATAAATGTCATGGTTAGGTATCTGCCTCAAGTTTACTGATGAATATGATAGGAAATTTAATCCACTGTAGACCCTAGACTGATTATTATTAACCTTGATAAGCAAAATAATAAGACGGTTAAATTATGTAGTATCACTACCCTGTAATGGTGGATGTTATATATTATAAGATATAAGCTTTTATTATATAGGGTAAGCTTAATGTGAAGTTATTTATAATTGTGGACCTATCTCTGGTAATATCTTATCCCCATTCAAGAAATTCTTTGCTATGTCATGGTAGAGAATAAATAAACCAAGTACTATGTTACTAACGATCCGAACCACAAAACAAAACCTGTAATCCAAAACAAAATTTTGATGAAATATTGGTATATGTTGCAACTATGAACTAAGGAACTCTAGAAATGTATGATTATCGCATAATTCCTTTAAAAATATCTTAAACTAGGAATATATTTTCTTATTTCTATAGATGTCTTTTCTATATATGTCAGTGTATCAAGAAATCATAGAATTAGATTGGGGGGATTCTCATAGTTTAGATTATCTTTATGAATTTTAATAAGTAAGCTAACAGTTAATTTAAATGTTCCTGTGATAAGATACAGTACATTGAATTGAACATGATAATAAGGCATTAAGTCAGTCATTAGCTGTTGAATATAATTAATACTTTACTTCAGTATAGATAATACAACTATCCATATTTCCGTCACTTATTTCTCTGATAGAACTTTGAAATGGAAATGGATTTGAGGGCTGTCCCTGTAAGTATGCCACTTAGCTCTAATAATCTTTAAAACATCTTATGCTCAGTAGGCTACAGGACAATGATATTTTCTATGTTCGTTTTTAACCATGAATTGCCTATATAAACATTGCAGCATACAGAACAGATGAAGGTAAACCATGGGTTCTACCAGTTGTCAGACAAGCAGAGATCCAGATGGCAAATGATGCCACATTAAACCATGAGTACCTACCAGTGGCAGGCTTGCCAACATATAGAGAGGCTGCTGCTAGACTTCTCTTAGGGGAGGGGCATAAAGCATTAGTAGAGAACAGGGTAAGTCATAATCATAACATTAATAATATTTCCATTTAAAAAAAATAGGTGAAAAATCAGGCAATGTACAAATGTTCATAGGTTACTTAATTAATGTAACTATGTCGTTCAGAAAATATTTGACAAAAACTTAATGAGAAAATATCATAATGTACTTAATTAACTTGTTATTGTTAAAATATCAACCCTTAGTTGCAAATTGGTCAAAGGATAATTAATATTTGATATACCAAGTTAACACAATACTTATTGTAGTGTACATGTAGTGTAGCAAAGTCAAGTTTTTCTCAACTTTAAGGGATAGTAAAGAGGTTTTCTTAAATTTTTTATGTGTGTCAGGAAGACGGATAGAATAGATTTGCACCATTGTAATTTGCAGTCAGTCATCTGTGGTTCCTGTAATTCCATTTAAACTATCGCCTAAGCGTTTTATGATGTCACTATCGCAAAAGCTGTTATTGAAATATCAGGACCTTTGTGATAATATGTCATGCAAAACCTAGTTTACATGGAATTGAAAGAAACACTGACGTCTGATTTAAAATTAAATGATGTAAATCTATACTATCAGTGTCCCCAATTCACATAACATTTTGAAAACTGCTTTTCAATCCCATTAATGGCTGTGAAGAGTTTTATCTATCAGAAGAACTAGACCTAAAGTTTGTCAAAGACTCTAAAAGATAGTGATGTATGATAGAATTAGATTGGGAGAATCCTCATTGTTTAGATTATCTTTCTGAATTTTAATAAGTAAGCTAACAGTTAATTTAAATGTCCCTGTGATAAGATACAGTACATTGAATTGAACATGATAATAAGACATTAATTCAGTCATTAGCTGTTGAATATAATTAATACTGTACTTCAGTATAGATAATACAACTATCCATATTTCTATCACTAATTTCTCTGATCAAAAACGAGAATTATAAAAATATAATTTGAATTATTTATGATTTCTTTGAATTCTTTACTTCATTATAGATATTTCAAATATCACTCTTTTGATTGCTAATTTTTGTGATAAAAAAAATTAATTTTCTGTAGAATTTTTATACATGTATGAATAAATTATGCAAAAAAAAAGATAAAGCAACATCTGGCTTAAGTACTATTTAAAGAAATTACACACAGCCTGAAAAAAATGACATGACTTTTTTGCATGAAACATTTTTTTTTTTTTGTCTGTCATAAAATTTCAACAAATTAAACAATTACTGTAATCAACGAATCAACATGTGTGTCCAGAATGGTCTGTGTTTGAATGTTAAAATGATGACTCACATTTCTTGAGACTCTGGCATAGAAAAGATGTATATAGAAATAGAACGTGAAATTCCTAGGTTGAGGTTTTTTGAACAAATTATGAGATGTTAGTACATTTCTGGTACTTCTGAAGACTATTTACATACATTCAAGACCTAAATCAGCGCCCTGAAATGGTGAATCTAATCCTTTAACCATATTAATTTTCTTCTGTACAGGTAGAAGGTGTTCAGACATTAGGAGGAACAGGGGCTATCAGATTAGCAGCTGAGTTTTTAAAACAGTTTTTAAACAAATCTGTAGTTTATGTTTCAAAACCTACTTGGGGTAAGTATTGGTTCGCCAAACTTCACATTTTATTCGTTTCTTGCCATAATATTCTACTCCTTTGTCAACTTTGGCTTTCAATGTCTGTCAAATGCAAAATTTAATGATAACTCTGGTAATCATTTTACCAGGAAAATTTTGGCTTTTTTTGCTTCAAAAAACATTTTCTTTCAATAAGATTGAGTGAAGTTACAAGAAAATGAAATCTATACTTTATGCATATTACAATAACAAATCTGTTCATTGTTAAAATAGACCACGTCAATTGTCAAGCAATATTATACATATTGATTTATTTTAGTTATTATATCATTTCATAATGTTTTATATTTCTCTACTGACAGGAAATCATAAAGGTATATTTAAAGCTGCAGGGTATGCTAAAATAGAAGAGTATAGATATTGGGATGATGCTAATAGATGTCTGAATCTATCAGGCATGTTGGAAGATCTTAAGGTAATATAAAACTTTTATGAAGTTAAAAAAACATTTCAGATGAATCGAAGAATTAAAGTTAAATGTTTTCAGATCATTGATATTTAGTGGGCTTATTCTGATTCATCCTCACCAGGAATTAGAATCCGCAACTGTTATTTGTTTGATGTAACTTAGCAAATGACATCATTGTATAGATTCCAATGCTCTAATTGACTGTGCTACAGCCAGCCCTCAATTGTAAAGGATTGTTCTTGGCTCATGGTCATTATGTGATAAATTGGATGTAAAACACCATTTTCATATGTCATGTGAAATGGATAATTATGGTAGGTTTCTATCATTTCAGGGAGCACCAGAGAATGCTGTTGTGATATTACATACTTGTGCTCACAATCCAACTGGTACTGATCCTACACAAGACCAATGGAAGGAAATCATTCAAGTTTGTCAGGTATATTAATGGTCTAAAACTTTATAAAGAAAACTTGACTTGTACACCAAAGAGGAGGTTTTGAAGGAGGTTAAATGTATGCTCGTTTTACCATATTGCCTTAGGACAAAAAATTTTGTCAATTTCTTTTTTTAAATGTAAAATTGGATTAAAGCTTGTCAGCCTTCATAATGGTACATATAAAGGTACAAGTTAGTCTCAATGATTTTTATCTGCCCCTACATCACAATAAGCCAAAGTAAAGTGCAGAGCTCTTGGAATTACCATATCATGGTCTATTGTACCTTTAAAAGTCACAATTTCTTGTAGTCTTAATATTTACATAACCATAAAACAAACAAAAATGTGCAGAGCTCATGGAATATGACATCATAGTCTGTGGCCTTCACTTTGACACCTCTAAAGGTCATGAGTAAGGGTCTTGAATTGCACTAGGAAACTTTATTTTAACTTTAGTTCAAAAATAGAAATGTTCATGTACTATTTCAGGATAAAAAAATATTTATGTTGATGGACTGTGCTTATCAAGGCTTTGCTAGTGGTGATTTAGATAAAGATGCTTTTCCAGTACGATATATGGCTGAACAGGGTATAGAATTCTTCGTAGCTCAGTCCTTCTCTAAAAACTTTGGTTTATACAGTAAGTAAGAGATTTCTCAAAAAAGTATTACTTACATGGAAAATGTCTCAAAATAGTGGATTTGAAATTTTGTGTCCAATATAAAAGATTTTGGCAATGGCAGTTCTTTGTTATCAAATTAGAAATGGCAGTCTTGGTTTTTAAATCAGGTTATTTACTCACTGTCCAACTTAAAAAGGCCACGTCGGCTGAAACGTTTGGGAATAAAACTCATAAAAACTGTCATTAATATTGCTTTATATTACATGATGTATTGTATATGATTTTTAATATGATATTAATAATTTAACGTGTATTATTATGATATATACAATATGAATGATTTCATATGATGTAATATGTGATATTATTATATGATGTGATATATGATGTGATCTCATAATGTGATTGACATAATATGTATATATCATTTGATATGATGTGATATATAATATGTGATATATGATGTTATATTATGTAATATTGTATTGTATATTGTATAATATATTTTATGTGATGTGATTTGATACTATATATAATATATGTGATAAGCTATTATAATATATGTGATAAGCTATTATAATTATGTGATAAGCTATTATAATATATGTGATAAGCAATTATAATTATGTGATAAGCAATTATAATTATATGATAAGGTATTATAATATATGTGATAAGCTATTATAATATATGTGATAAGCTATTATAATTATGTGATAAGTATAACTTGTAGATGAAAGAATTGGTAATTTAGCTATGATAACCAACAATCCTGATATGAAATTACGAGTGAGAACACAGTGTGAATTGATAGTCAGAAAGATCTGGTCTAATCCATCAAATCATGGTGCCAGAATAGTAGCTACAGTACTCAATAATCAGGCTTATTATGAAGAATGGTGAGTATGTTTGTCAAAATTCTCCAAATCCAAATCAAAGTCTTCTAGCCTAGGTAGACATTTGCTGTATTTGCTATTGTACAATCCAATCAAATCACTACATTTTTTGATGCAAGAAAGGTAGCAGTCAAGATGAAGTTTGTTATAGCTTGACAATGTTAAGATGAGGTAGACATGAAATGAGTGCAATAGCTGATAATGCATGAATGAGAAAATCAACAAAGCAATGAATGAATAAAAATATTAAGATACTGAAGAACCCAATTGCAGAATGGCATCAGGTGTTCTGGAAGCAATGCCATGAATGCTACATTGCCACGATACTTTTTATGGTTAACATTTAATACTTACTGAAAAACATTCGTATCAGTTGTCTGAAGATCACATATTGTGAAACTGTGAGTAACAATATGTTTCAGGTTCTGTTTTAATATATCTAGAATTAAAACTAAATAAATCTTTTTTTCTCTGCATAAATTGGTTACATTGTTGTAGGAAACAACAAGTGAAGACAATGGCTAACAGAATCCAGCTAATGAGACAGTTACTGTACGAGAAACTCCGTTCTCTAGGAACACCTGGTACTTGGGAACATATTATTAAACAAATTGGTATGTTCAGTTTCACTGGACTTTCAGGTAAGTGATATCATTTATTTCTTTGATTTGATTTCTTTAAAGTTACACAGATCTGAATATCCTTGACATTATTTTAATAGAAAATTTGAATCAAGTAAAGTGTGCCCACATTAACTGCAGAAACAAGATACAAGGGAGATAACATGGTAGTCAGTGTTTTATTTGTGTAGTGTATAGTCTAGTGACTAATTGGGTACAAGTAGCAACACAATTGTAATTTTCTCTAGTGCAAGAAAAAAGATTTCCACGATCACTGCATTGAGAGTATCAGCTCTAAATCTGTACCTACATCATACCTATCTAAATTATCATCCTTTTTAAAATGGTAAAATTGAGACTTTTATGACAGCAACTTACATTAACCCAGCCTTCTGTACTTTATTACAATCTGATTTCTTACAAAAATGATTTTGGATAATACTGCAATTGATTTCATTTCATTTAATGTATAATAGTAAACATTCACTGATAATTGTATTTGTTTATTTACAGTGCGTCAAGTAGAACATATGATAAATCACCACCATATATATTTATTGAAAGAAGGACGTATCAATATGTGTGCATTAACTACTAAAAACGTGGAATATGTTGCCAATGCTATAAATGATAGTGTCAAATCCTTCCCTGAAGATCCTAAACTTTAAATATTACTCAATTAGTATTCTGTCGTTCAAATCCATATTTTGATGTTAAGTTAAATCTGAGCTCAGTTTCATGAAATTTTGACTTAAATAAATCCATATTTTAGAAATACAGCAATTTGATTGGTTAAAAATCATCGATTTAATATCAATATCAGTGATTGACCAATCAGATGACTGGAACATAATCAATTGATATTCTGATTTCGTGAAACTGGTCCCAGAACTACTATTATAATTCTATATTATAACCACAGGGTTTGGTATATTATAGCTTTTCTTTTCAAATTTATTGCAAAAGTTATGAATTTTCATGATCAGTATAAGGGACACTAAAAACGAAAGCTGGACATGAAACTTGTGGTAAGCACAACAAATCTTATGCAATTTTTCTTCAGCAACATTTTTATGTTTACTAGTGTTGTAGAGATATTGTAAAATGTTGATCTTAGATCAGAAATTGAAATGACTCTTAAAAAAATTGTTAGTGTTTGAATTAATATGAATATATTTTTGGTTATTCAATAATTATGAAAGATCTTATTAGTTTTTTATTCGAATTCTTGTGAAAATAAATACCATTTATTTCTTGTTTCCTAATGTTAATAACCTAAATAATAAGTATTTTAAATAATTCAAATTTTAATTTGCTTGTTTACAAGTCTGTTACAATTTCTAGACACTTTGTTAATATAGTTTTTATATTTTGCTTGTTATATACATAGTTTTGTTCGAGTATTTTAGTTAAGAACAATAAAAACTGGATCAAAGATGCTGAATTTTAGATTTGCTTTGCTTTAATGTAGCAAAATGTTAAGAATTGTTCATTCATTTTAACAGTTGATAAAATATATTATGTAACTCCCAATTATAAGAGACTGTAAAATTTGACAAATTAAATTCTCTTCATTTTACTTGGGTCACATTGGGTCATAAGATTTTTATTGAACCATTGAAAAGACCATATTATTCTGAAAAGTAATACAGGTATTCTTATGTTATATAGCTGTCTATGAATTATAAAGATACTCACTGTTGTTTTATAAATTGAATTATGTTGCCAATGATAGTCATAGTTATCTCTTGTGATATTGAAGGGTATTTAATGATTTTCAACAGAATAATTGCAACTTTAGAGTTTTTGAGCTTGAGATTATCATGTGCATATGTTTAATGTTTATCATTTTTGGACTGAGACTTTAAAGAAAAGTGGCAGAATGATTGCTTGCTATACTTGCTAGACATGGCAACTGATAAATACACATAAAATACCATGAATATATGGAATACACCAAAAATTATATCATTAGCTTTTATTTCCCTGAGCACTAAAATGCCATGAATATATGGAATACACCAAAAATGATATTAGCTTTTATTTCCCTGAGCATTATTCTGTATAATGCAGTCAAGATTTTAAGTTGCAAAGCTCTTTCTTTGAAAATCATTAAATATTCAATTAAAGTAAGCATTATTATACTTATGATTTTTTAGTTGCTTTGTATTAATATAAAGATGGTGGATATGATAGTTATAAATGTACTCTTAATGTGAAAGTCGAGGCTTCATCAGGCAGAAATCCTTTAGGCCAAAAACTGGTAGCATTTCTTTGCCCCTTATGATTTTGGCCTCCTATACCCAAGCTTTGTCACTGTATTAAAGGAAATATATATTATGCTTAATTTATAGCTAGATTCCCAAAGACCCATTTTAATAAATTACATGAAGCATTAATCCTTGTTTATCACAGTAAGACATAAAACTCTATTTATTTTGTTTCTTTATTTATAATAGAGAAGAAATATTGAAAGGTTTCAAGACAGAACATCAAGACAACAAGTTTTTTCCTATGATTTACTAAGTGAAGTCATCAAATGCTTTTTACTATTATAAATTTGTTGTAGAAACCTCCTAGACTGTGTTTGGATAAATTTTATGAGTTTATTTTCTGTAGAACAATGATTCATTACATGATACTCTGTATGATTTTTTTTTGTTGATGTGGGATTGAGTCTATACATTTTCGTTTATCCAAGTCACCCCCTCTAACGTCCCTACCCCTTATTGGGATCTGAAACAATTACTGAAATGGCACATAACAAATTCAATATATGAAATGCTCATAGAGAGCTTAACCATGTGGGAAAATTGTATTGATCATCGTATTTGAGACCATGTGAAGAGATATTGTTAGATATTGGATGATTTGAGTACCGTATAATTGCGATCATAATGCGCACCATTCTTACTCCCAATTAGATCTAGAAATATTTAATATCTGTGAATCAATTTGAACCATTGATCATCGTATTTGAGACCAGGTGAAGAGATATTGTTAGATATTGGATGATTTGAGTACCGTATAATTGCGATCATAATGCGCACCATTCTTACTCCTAATTTATTCGGTAATTAGATCTAGAAAAATGTAATAAAGCTTGTAAGTATTTTGTCCACATCTTTAGAAAAATAGTATTGTATTGTATTTGGAATTGTCTTTAAATGTCTCAAATATGGAAAAACAACAGAAGAGAAAGAAAATCTTTTCATAGCTCTGACCATGCATTTTCCGAGAATCATCTTTCCACAGACTTTTCACAATGACCTTTTTCGAAAATATTTTTCCCATATTGGGTAGATTAACCTTTAGCTCACACTTTATGCCACATATTGAAATACAGCCAAAGTTTTCCTTATCCTTTTAAGATGAATCAACATAAGTAGACTCTTCCATGAACTTAAAAGATGAAATTAGTTATAAGTGGTTTCTTCCGTGTCCTTAAAATAACTGACGTTGTCTTCTTCTATTCTTTTAAAGGAATACTACCTCCTATAACGAACATCAAACTTGGTCAATGTCAGTTGGACTTACGAGGGTGCCATGACGAAAGAACAGAATCTCGAATTCTCGATATGTGATGGTATATCCATTAAACTATATAATTATTGAAACACGCTGCTAACTATGTTTCGAAATCAAAATTACTTAAACTTTATTGAATAATTACTTTTATGAGTTTTATGACTTTATTTGAATATAGAGGGATTCTGTTGCATAGTTATAACACGAGGTAAGTCCAAAGATGAACAAAGACTTATTTTGGCGAAGTTAAAAAATTTCATTTTTTCGGTCATACGAAAGTATATCTTTGAAGGCATATAGTCTTCTAAAGATTCGGTTAACCATCTGATAGAGTTGTACGCTTACCATGGCATTAAAAAAAAAATGCTTCAAGTTTAATGTGGTCTTTATATTTGAAACCTTAAAACAGCTCTGCTGTCATTCCATAAAGTTATTTATGTATGGAAGTTATTTTTGGGGTATACGATCAAACATCAATGTCCATCTGACATCAGCTGCAAGACGCCTGGGTTTCTCTATTAGGAATAACAATAGGATTAGTACTCGGTAATTATTCTCAAAATTAAATGACATCTAAGATGCAGAATGAATATGAGCAATAGATAATTAACAAATTAGCCGTAGGCGATTAAAACAGAATATCAACAGCATTATTATGCATGTAACAATACTTGTCATTTCTGTTAACATAATGTGGATATAAACTGACAAGAAGTCGTAAAACTTGTTTAACCACCCTTTTCTATACAATGTATTTAACATGGGCCTAATATGGTTCAGTATAATGAACATTCAACACTTTCCTCCTCATTTCAAAGCAAGAAAAATAATTTTCCTGTGTTTACTTTCACTACTTTTGACTTAAATTTTGAGAAGTTTTTCACATTTCTAAAGTAACGAAAGTTTAATTTGTCACGAATTGTCAATACTGGCGACTCTCTTACCACGATAGCCGTCGGTTTAACTCGAGATTAGAATAGTTTAAAATATTGTATTGTTTTAAATATGTTTGTAGCCAGTATAATAATTTAAAGTTACATTTTTGTGATGGATGGTTACAAGTATGTGGTAAACCGGAGATAGGATATTTAATAAGCATGTGCATATCTATGGATTATTGAAGCAAAGAAGGTGATAATGCATAACCTGAGTATCTGAAGGGTAAATATGAAAATATTCATGCAAATTTAAAGATAATCATCAGTTATAGTTTGCAAGGATAAACCGAGATATCTGCGCTAATATTGAATTCCAAAGGGCTTTTAAACAGATACAGGTGTCATTTCAAATGAGATTTTAAACTTCCTCCTGTGTGTTTAAAAAGCTTAGTTATGACACCGATGAAGGTATGTTTATAGATCTTCAATTATGTTATGTTTATGTTATGTTGCATTCGGTTATCACATCGATATATATTTCTAAATCACCATGCATCACTTGCAAAAGTTTTTAGCTTCTGTAGGTTATGCTGTAACGTCACGAAAGAATTTCCATTTAAAAGCAGTAAAATTCATTTGCTCATAAGATTGTCGGAATCCTTCATTTTTAAGCTTTCTTTGTATGGTGAACATTCACTGCCGAGAATTGTCACTACAACGTGAATTTTGTCATTATGTAAAGAAATAGATATAAATATCTATAATTCTATAAAAACTCCTGATAGGTTATCTACCTAAAATCCAGGAGACGATAACGATCTTATAGAAGTAAAAATGAGAAATATCTCTAACCGACTTGAGAAATTATCTAACAGTTATTACCAAACCCAATAAACTAACAAAGGATTGAATCCAAGTGCTCTCCAACGCATGTTTTACATTTTACTCGTTATTGAAAATTACCTGGTGGATCTAACATTTACTACGGTGAGCAAAAATTTGCTATGCTGAAGATATGTTTCAAATATCATCATAAAAATGTCTGCAAGATACTGTTATGAAACTTTTATAAGACCCCACACTGCTGATATGATTCAGGTAGACATTATAAAGATGTCTGGAAGACTCTATACTGCTGATATGATTCAAGGAGATATGTTAAAGATGTCTATAAGACTCCATACAGCTCATACGATTCAGGTAGACACTATAAAGATGTCTATAAGACCCCACACTGCTAATATATGATTCAGGTAGACATT